GAGAGAGGGTAAAGAGGGTAAGAGAGGGTAAAGAGAGAGGGTAAGACAAGGTAAGACACCACACACTAGAAGGTGAAGGGACGACGACGTTCCGGTCGGTCCTGGACCATTCTCAAGTCGATTGTGACTTGAGAATCCATTCCTGGACCATTCTCACAATCAACTTGAGAATGGTCCAGGACGGGACACGATGAGTTTGAGTGATTCAAAACAAACACGTTTATTAATATATATATATGAGAAAGGTAATTATCAGGAGAATACACAAAGTCAGTATTACTGTATGACATAATATAAAGTCTTAATGATAGTATAACACGTAATTATTATATGTATATACTATTGTAATAAAGATTACAATATAGATGTAGCAGCTTTATTTGTAAAGTGATTTATACAAACTATTACAGTAAGATAAAAAGCCACACTAATATATTTGTGTGCTTTATGTAAAGATATAGGCACATCCTGCCAGTAGGTATGGCAGGATGTACAAAATTGCCCCATTGAAATACAGAGGTGCAATAGGTACGCTGAAAGAGAACTTTATCAACATCAAAGGCTCAAGAGTTTTCAACACACTCCCGCTCCACATAAGGGTCATAACTGGCTGGCCTCGCACGGTGCTCAAGAGAAAAGTCGATGAACATCTTCAAAAGATACCTGAGCAGCTAGGTTCTGATTCATACGTCAGGCTGCGAGCAGCCGCGTCCAACAGCCTGGTTGACCAGACTACCAACCAGGAGGCCTGGACAGAGACCGGGCCGAGATCACTATCCTGAGTGCTTTATCAAGGTCTGAGTGCATGGTTAGGACGAGACTTGCATCTCAACGACTAATTCGGTTGCTACCCAGGATCCAGTCCCCCTATCCTTCTTGACCTGACCGTGTCACCTCTATCCTCGGCTGCCGATATTCCCACGGGGATGTCATTACAGGTGTGGCAGCAGTGAACAGGTATACATGTGTAGCTGCAGTGAACTGGAGTACACTCACACAAAACACTTATAACTTCCATTTAGAAGCAAAACTGATTTTGTAAATATTACTGCTATTAGGGAGATCACTGCACTGAAAAACTGTTCCATTCTCCACTACGCTATGAACAGTTCTTGGAGAAAGCTGTAAGACAATAAAGAAAGCCTATTGTAGCCCAGGATGTCTCCGGGCGGGTGGCTGGTGTACCATGTTGGTAGGAAGAGCAGTGATGAAAGGAGGCGCGTCTGCCTGGACTGTCCATTGAGTCTCGGCCGGAAACGTAACTCCAGCAGACACACTTCCAGTTTGTATGAGTCACAATAACGTGGCTGAAGTGTGTTGACCAGACCACACACTAGAAGGTGAAGGGACGACGACGTTTCGGTCCGTCCTGGACCATTCTCAAGTCGATTGTGAGAATGGTCCAGGAATGGATTCTCAAGTCACAATGGACTTGAGAATGGTCCAGGACGGACCGAAACGTCGTCGTCCCTTCACCTTCTAGTGTGTGGTCTGGTCAACACACTTCCCGTTTTCTGCCAGCCTTGCAAATTTGACCTTGAACAATATTTCCTTTAATATTTTAGTTTTTGTAAGTGTTTAATGATTGGGAAAGTGAAAAATACTCTCCAATTCCCTTCCATCCCTCACACTAATGTCGTCTACTACCCTGTCCCCACAATCTTTGTCTATACCATACCAATCGCATATACCCTCCCACGAACTCCGCATACCATCTTACCCTCCCACTCACACCTACAACCCTCATGCATGTATTAGAAAATGATCTTTTTGCTGGCGATATATCACACATCACTTCAGTATTTTAGTAAGATCAGTTCTGCGAGTGCCACAAGAAGCTTCTCAGTGCGCGAGGAGGTGGGAGGGGTTTGAGGCGTAACTGCTCCTTATATATATTCTGGAATTATCTTGAGAGAACCATTCGGTGGATAATACTTCTATAAATTATTAACATTTATCATAGCGGTACCCTACTGCAAGTTTAGTAAATATAACGTTAAAAATTACTTGGTATAATGATGTGATGATAATATTGATGGTGTGTTATAGTATGGGTAGGTAGTGTTTAATAGGAAGTAAAGCAGCGGAGAGTTTGGTGACTGGATGTGGCCGCCATATCGTCATATCTACCAGTTGCCAGCTATTCTTATGTGTTTTCTATCTTCTAAGTCTTCATTACCTTCTTGATATTCATGTCACGTGATTCAACAGTGCGCCTCTTATCACCATCGTCAAGGTTCGATCCAGTAGTTTATTTGTTGCTTGATACCCCGTAATAGAGCGAAATATATTTATAAACCTTTACTTAAACTTGACGAGTTGCCAACACTTTGTAAACCAACCAACTTCCTGCGCTCCTTCACCTGAGCCTTGATATTCTTTTCACGTCGTCTCGTCAAGTTCAGATTATACAACGCTTTTGTCCGGGGAGTCTACTCTTTATATATATATATATATATATATATATATATATATATATATATATATATATATATATATATATATATATATATATATATATAAATCCTCCTTTATAGTATATGCTCTGGCTTGCTCATCAGCTCATATGTATTCGGAGGGCCAACATGATATCATAACCACATGACGTACTGTAATGCTATCATTACTACTTTTGTTATATCTGTGTGTGGCTGGACATATAACCAAGCTTCACTTGTGTCTTAGGAATTAAACAACAAGTTCAGCTTGCGGATGGAAGTATAGATGTCGTGAATTATAAGGTGCACAGATAAACACACTTAACTCACGTCAATTATTTTACTGCTAAACAAATTGTTACAAAATAGAAGCCTTCACTTTCCTCCCTTCTTCCTTAAGACTTAAGATCATCTTAAATAAACGGGGACTTCCTTTTTTTTCGCAAGAATAACAATAGTAATAATAGTTCTATAATAAAAGTAGTTCAATAAAAAAAGTTCGAATATTTGGTTTAAATATTTTGACTAAAACGGCATACCTTGAGGTGCTTCCGGGGCTTAGCGTCCCCGCGGCCCGGTCGTCGACCAGGCATTCCGTTGGTACAAGAAAAATGTGTTGACGTATTTACTTGAGCAGGAAGGGCCCGGCGGTGAGGACATTATAGGTGTTGACCAGACCACACACTAGGAAGTGAAGAGACGACGACGTTTCGGTCCGTCCTGGACCATTCTCACGTCCATTGTCGATTATAGCAGTTGCAGCTCACAACATGCCTTATCCTCATACCTGTTATTTGTGTCCGTGGGGGAGGTGTTGAGCGCTGTTGTTGTTTAAGATTCGCTACCTGGAACAAAAAATTCCAAGTAGCACAGGCTATGGTGAGCCCGTAGTTGTTGAGCGCTGCCCGGCTAGCTTAGTGGTGTGGCTACTAGGCTTGGCAGTGCGTCCGTTCAGGGAAAGGGAGCTCCTGGTGTACTATTTCTTCCGGAGATATAGTGTGTCTGCTTGGCTATTTACATTTAAAAACGTCAAAAATGGGTGTACAATTATCATTGATTTAGTTACAATTTTTTTTTGTTTGTATATTCATGAAAGGGAAGTGGGGCAGAAATCTTATATTTAAAATATTAAACAAGATTAAAATGCAACTGGAGATAGCCCATAAGTTATCGCTGTTTTTTTTTAAGACTAAAATATTCATCCAAAACTTTTGCATAATCCCCGGGCTTGATGGCTAATTTTATATTTTTGTATAAACTTTAAGTCTTGCTTACATAGTTTACAAGTCTTACACAGTTTGAGCTGTGGGAAAAGACTTAAGTCTTTATATAAATGAAGTTAAGGCCACAGGATGAAAAGAAACTACAGGAGGAAAACCTAACTCCATGATGCGGAATATAGGTGAAATGTGTCGTCAACTCTATAACTCTTTCCTTAACATTAATTGTTGCATAATTCTTATTTAAATTATTGGCTAGATGACACCACCATTCTTATCTGGTTCCTTCCTGTCTGGGCCGCCTGTGTCTCTTGATGATGCTTCAGGCCAGACGAAAGTACTTAAACTAATTTCCAGTTTCACTGTGGTTTTTATCTTGTATTTTGAAGTCATCTTTGTATAATTATATATATATATATATATATATATATATATATATATATATATATATATATATATATATAATTATATAATTATATATATATATATATATATATATATATATATATATATATATATATATATATATATATATATATATATATATATATATATATATATATATATATATATATATATATATATATATATATATATATATATATATATATATATATATATCAATGCATGTATTGAGGTGCATTGCATTGCGATGCACGAGAGGTGAGGGTGTCTGGTAATGTTTTAAGTAAATGTGTACACATGTGTTTTGAGAGGAGGTGATATAACCAATGGTTGGGTTCCTACGCCCCTGCCCCTCCCCGCACCCACAGTTGCAGGGATCGAGTGCTTCCAGTGTGACTCCACCAGCGAGCGGACGTGTGCAGAGACGCTCCCGCAACACCACGTCCTCTACGCTGACTCTTGCGGCAACATCCAGGAGGCCACCTACTGCGTCAAGATGACCGGCGTCTTCGAAGGTGGTGTGTTGGTGCCTCTTTCCTTCCTCACACCCTATACCAATACCTTTCTACTGTCTAATTACATTTGTTTTTTATCTCTAGGGGCTCTTGTTTCCAACGCCCGCTTGTGTATGTGATGGTGTTGGATTGTCTGGTAGCTTATGCCCTCTAAGATCTCCTTACTTGCTTATGTAGCCCAGGTGTATGGAGGCCTAAGCTATCCTGCTGCTGCTGCTGAGACCTTTATTAACACCCACGCTGACACTCACAATATTTACAGTATTACTAACCCTGTTGTATCAGTAGTATGTTAGAGAGGCCTCAGCGCTGAGGGTACTTGGCTTGCTGGAGTGATGGTGGTGAGCGTCGTGGGCACCCTGACACACAGTATAGGGGGCAGCGTGGAGGGCAAGGCGTGACCAGGCATGTGTATGTTACAGCGTCAGGCATCAGCTGCTACCAGTGTGACAGCACCAGAGACCTTCACTGCCCAGAGTACTTCCAGGCGGGGTACCACCAGGCGCCCACCGCCCTTACCTCCACCACCTGCGACCAGGTCTTCGAGGCTCGTTACTGCATCAAGACCACCGGATTATTTGAAGGTTGGCTCACTTCCCTCGCTCCATCCATGGTGTGAGTGTAGAGGTGGCGTCAGTAGTGAGTATGAAGCACGTAGTACACTGCTGTGTTGGAGGTAGCTCCCGTAGGCCCCTTGTAGTGCCACCATGTGTTGATGTTACCACAACCGTTACCCTACTCCACGCTTCTCTCCACCACCCGCCACCAGCCACCCCCCATCACCCATCACCACCCGCCACCCCCCATCACCACCCGCCACCCCCCACCACCACCCGCCACCCCCCATCATCACCACCCGCCACCCCCCATCACCACCCGCCACCCCCCCCCCCCCCCCCCCCCCCCCCCCCCCCCCCCCCCCCCCCCCCCCCCCCCACCCACCACCAGTACCGCAGTAATCACTGTTACCACCGCCTCTTTCATCACTACCACCACCACCACTTGTTGGGGCCCCACTTGGTAGCCCTGTACTCTCTCCACGACCACTAATCATTATCTCACTTCCATTATCATTACCCAGTAAATATACACTAATGATCAGTAATGCAATATTCTTGGGGAATATGAGGAAGAAGGAAGACAAATAAGAGAGAGGAGAAGTAGCACTACAAGTCACACCAAACAAAGTGTGTGAGGTAGACAGCTAATTTCGTCTCCAAATATCAACAGGGATTCAGGCAAGATAAAATCGATCAAACGTGAGAGAGAGAAGAGTGCGGACTCGAGCAAGAACAAGCTGGTGTATAAGGAAGAGTACTATATTGGGCGTGGGAATATCACACAGTATGATGGTGGCGGGAGATGTGAGTACCACAGGGCTCGGTACTAGGCCCAGTCTTTTCCTGATGTACGTCAACGACATGCAAAAAAATAGTTTTTTTATATATCAATGTTTGCTGGTGTTAAAAGGCTGCTGACCGCACTACAGTGGATTCAAAGGCTGCACTACTAGAGTGCACTTCGGTGGTCTGAGAAATGCCAATTGGATTTTAACCCAAATACAAATGTATAAATATAGGAATAAGAGTGAGACAACAGTAGAGAATGAAGGTGAGACATCTTCCCACTAAGACAATAGATAAAGACCAGGGAGTAGACGTAAGTGCCAACCCAACACCAGAGGTGTGGGAGCCCACTGTTGAGCGACTCCCACGCAACACCCGACTACAAGGTGTTGCATTTTAGGCGGGTGTTAGTCTTTTGTTTAGTCAACACAAGACTAAAAGTCAAAACATATGCAACAAGGTTCGTTCCTGCTATGAAGGTAGACTTTGAGAACTGGACCTCACCACTAGAGAAAAAAAGGAATAGGGCAGACATGATAACGGCATTCAAGATTCCATGGAAAATAATAAAGTAAAAAGAGAACCAATGTTAAAAGCGAGGAACAATAGAGCGAGAGGATAAAGATGGAAACTGGAGAGGAAACCCAGTCAAAGAGCAGCCCGTCCTCTCGACCGTTTACTACCTCACTAAACTGAGGTATTAAATTGCCCGAACCTAACCTAACCGTGGACCAACGAATAGAAAACGGGCCATCACGACAATATTGCGAGCCGCTGTGATGTTTAGTACATCAGTTTTTGGTGTTATGGGCTTTATACGTGTAATACGACACACTGTTGGAGAGGACGGGTCGCTGAGAGATGTCACCAGAAACTTCTTCAGTGTTAGGGTCGGAAATAAATGAAACGGATTAGGTGTTTTCGAGGCAGTTCATATACAGCTTTAAAGTAACTATGATAGGAAAAGTAAGTTCAAATGTTATTGCAAACGCTCCATCCTGCAAGCACATCTAGGTGAGTACTCACACACATACACGGGGCCCATGCCTGACCTGCACCAGCCTTGCTTTGTGTGACATGTAAACACTTTTATACTGGCTTCCTGCATAGCTCAATATTAAGCCTGTGCTTGTGTAGACTCTGCCTCTGCATACCTATATTGCTCAGTTTGGCTCTCTGCCTTGTTCTCCTTACCTGACTTCCTCCCTGTGTGTGTGTGTGTGTGTGTGTGTGTGTGTGTGTGTGTGTGTGTGTGTGTGTGTGTGTGTGTGTGTGTGTGTGTGTGTGTGTGTGTGTGTGTGTGTGTGTGTGTGTGTGCGCGCGCGCGCGCGCGCGCAATGTGAAGATGAGGACAAGACAACAGTGAGGTGTGAATGTGTGCTGGTGATGGCACGGTCACTACTGCACGTCGTAACATAATATTGATTGTTGGCGTTATTATGTTATTGTGTGGCTCACACGCCTGGCCGGCCCACGGTGGTCACCAAGGGCTAGATTCACGAAGCAGTTACGCAAACACTTACGAACCTGCACATGTTTTATCAATCTTTGGCGGCTTTGTTTACAATTATTAAGCAGTTAATGAGCTCCGAAGCACCAGGAAGCTGTTTATAACAATAACAGCAGTTGATTGGCAAGTTTTCATGCTTGTAAACTGTTTAGTAAATGTAACCAAAGCCATCAAAGATTAAGGAAAGATGTACACGTTCGTAAGTACTCGCGTAACTGCTTCGTGAATCTGACCCCTAGACGCTACGACAGTCACCTGGACACCTCTACCATCTTCACCTGATAATTACCATATCACTTCACCTCTGTTAAGTAAATTGTGAGATACTCTTTGTGCCAATGTAAGAATGATTTAGTATATACCTGTGTAAGTATATTCCAGTGTATGTTCCCATGTGAGTATTTACCTTTATCAAATTGTACATATATATGAGGATATACTTGCGTGAGTACCTGTGTATGTTCCTATGTCCTGAATATATACCTGTGTAAGTATGTACCTTTGTGAGTTTGCATGGATATGTATATATATACTGTATAAGTGTGAAGTTATGTTTTGTGGGGTTGTATTGGCTGGCGTAATGTCAACACTGCCGGCGTGAGCCTCACACAAGCCCGGTCTTTGATCAGGTCTCCACCCCCAGGAAGCAGCCCGTGACAGCTGACTAACACCCAGGTACCTATTTTACTGCTAGGTAACAGGGGCATATGGTGAAAGAAACTCTGCCCATTGTGTCTCGCCGGCGCCTGGGATCGAACCCAGGACCACAGGATCACAAATCCAGCGTGTGTGATCACCGGCTCCCTGTGTGTGTGAATAGGTTAGGTTAGTTTAGGTTAGGTTAGTTTGTCTTTGCAACAAGTTGAAAATCTTTTCCCGTTTGTCCAATGCGTTAAAGGTCGGTATATGTACTTTGGTCGTCATCGTCACTAATGTAATACCAAAACTGATGACTTTGGAGACTGATGAAAGGGGCTTCCTTTGTACGTGCCTCGAGAAGGCTCTTCAAGTGTGGCTCGGGTATGTCTAACTTGTGGGTGCTCTCGTCTCTGTATACTCTCTCCAGTAGCATTTCTATGGTGGTGTCGACCGGGACCTTGGTCAATAGGGACTCCACGTCCAGTGAAGCAATAATTACATCGGGATCTGTAGTTTATATTATTTCTAGTTTAAATAATATATATATATATATATATATATATATATATATATATATATATATATATATATATATATATATATATATAGAGTGTCACATGTATGAGGGGCCTGGCTGGGGCCCAGACAGGTGTCGATACTTGTCTGTGAGGGGGCAGGGAGAGGGAGAGCCAGGTGAATGAGGGTCAGATATAAGGGGAGGGAGGAGGGGGGGGGTAGGAAGGATGAGAGTGAGGATTAGGGGGGATAAGCGTGAGGGAAGGTCTGAAGAAGAGAGGGTAAAGGTGAAGGATGACCACGGTAGCTCTCTTCCCCACACACCGTAATACTAAGGTCCGGGTTCGATCCCCAGTGGAGGCGGAAACAAATGGGCAGAGTTCTTTCAGCCTGATGCCCCTGTTACCTAGCAGTAAATAGGTACCTGGGAGTTAGACAGCTGTTATGGGCTGCTTCCTGGGGAAGGGGTGGGGGGGGGGATTATAACAGTTGATTGACAGAGAGGCGGGCCGAAAGAGCAGAGTTCAACCCCCGTAAGCACAACTAAGTGAATACATACACTGCCCCTCCACAGTAAAGTAGCGCCATCCTACCCCCCCCCCCCCACACTGCACCACCCCCACACTACATCACCCCCACACTACACCATCCCCACTACACCATCCCCACACTACACCATCCCCACACTGCACCATCCCCACACTGCACCACCCCCACACTCCACCACCCCCACACTGTACCACCCCCACACTGCTCCACCCCCACACTGCTCCACCCCCACACTACACCATCCCCACACTGCACCACCCCCACACTCCACCACCCCCACACTCCACCACCCCCACACTGTACCACCCCCACACTGCACCACCCCCACACTGCACCACCCCCACACTCCACCACCCCCACACTCCACCACCCCCACACTCCACCACCCCCACACTGCACCACCCCCACACTGCACCACCCCCCACACTACACCACCCCCCACACTGCACCACCCCCACACTACACCACCCCCACACTACACCATCCCCACACTCCACCACCCCCACACGGCACCACCCCCACACTGCACCACCCCCACACTGCACCACCCCCACTCGGCACCACCCCCACACTGCACCACCCCCACACTGCACCACCCCCCACACTACACCACCCCCACACTACACCACCCCCCACACTACACCACCCCCCACACTACACCACCCCCACACTCCCTACTAAAATCAAGCATCGATACAGTAATCAAAATGAGGCCGCATCAGAGATTTGTACAATTGAATCACTACCGTCATTTCCTTAATGGGAAAAACATAGAAAACAAATTAAAATGAGAAGTGTGTATTCAGATGGTCAATATGACCATACTATCTTATTGATAGGGAGTATTTACCAAGCCATGGTATTAATATACGAGTATATTCTAGTGAATTTTATTGTAAATGTATGAACACTAAGGTATACAAACAATATATTGTGTGAGGAAGTGGGAATTAGGGTGTGTGAACAGCATCCAAGATGTGTTAAGGAATAAGGATACTTGTACTGTATATAGAATTGTATGATAAAAGGGAGTGAATGTTTGATATTATCGACAACTCATAGGAAGCCCCTTTCCCTAGCTGTGTGAAGCGGTTGGGTGCTGCTGTGGGTGTACTACTGGAGTGTGATGCTGTAGTATGTAGTGTGAGAATTTTTTAGTATATTTCTAACATTATTTTCCTGTATTATTCTCCCATTTCTTTCAGACTGAAGCCTTATCATATTGTGAAATTGGTAAACAGGGTAATAATAATAATGATATGGATTTTTTTTAACTTTAATGCACATATCTCTGCTTAGATAATTTATTAATATTTTAATTACTTTTGATGTCATACTATGAGCTTAATCCAGCTTAGATTTGCAATTAAAATGAAATCTATATATTTTTAATTGTATGTATCCTCACCCTTCCACAAATCTAATAGTAATTTAATAATTATTAATTATGACATTAGGAATATAAATCAAATGTGCTTTATTTTGAATATAAATGAAAAATGTTTAATGTTTACTGAGCTTGTAGAACCTATAAGTACAGTTACTGAACTTGTAGAACCTATAAGTACAGTTACTGAACTTGTAGAACCTATATGTACAGGACTGAGTGTTGTGTGTCATTACAGGAGAGCTTGGCACCAAGAGGTTCTGCTCAGCTCGGGACTGGGGTAATTACTGTGAGTGGGTGAGGCGGCCTGGTGACGAGAGAGAATACCGGGCCTGCGTCTTCACCTGTTCGGGTAACTCTTGCAATGCTGCCCCAAGCACACTCACGCCAACACCCCTCTCTCTCCTCCTGCTGCCTGCGCTGATTTTCCTGTTTTTCACAGCCTGGCTCACTGCTTTGTAGATGCTTGGCTGGCAGTGGGGGTCAGGACCCTTACATTACTTTCTGTTGATTGAAAAACATACATTGTTCGAGCTTCCAAGCCTACAAGTACAGTACTGTACATCGTGAAAATATAAATGGCTGTGAGATGATTCATTTTTGCTGGCTGTCCCATTAAACAGTAACTGGTGATGAATTAGTGTAATAGATGGGGATACATGAGTGGAGTTAGCAGAAAGTACACTAGCATCAACTGTTACAGCCAATACTCTGGACTTCCAAGAGCAACCTTTACACCTCTGTATGGCATTTCAACACTTCTTCTTCTAGTATTATCATAGAATAAATTTCTGATAAGTTTAAGTTTACCGAGGACCACTTGTAGCCTCAGGAATTGGGTCACATATCTTGAATTGACCTATTTTATAATTATTTTTTTCAATAGTTCATGATGTTAGTCAGATTTTAAAACAAAATTCAGAAAATACTGAGAACCTCAGGCAAAGAATCTTAAATATAGTAACATATATGATTCTTCCTGGCAATACTAGAGTGTAGTTGTGGCCTCAATATTGTTTACATGTTTGTAATGTTATAACATACTTGTTATTCCTGTTTACAATAGAGTACAGGAAATGCATTGTTGTTTAATAACAAAATAAAGTTACCATCATGTGATAGAGAAATTCATTAAATAATGTGAGTACAATGAATCTTTGTGTATGTTTGTTTTATTATAAGGACAACTGTCTTGCACTTAAGCACAAAAAAATAAGTGATAATCTACCCATTTAATTTTCCTCAGAAAGCTGTTATTAAACAAAAGTAAACAAACTGTAATTTCCTTAATGTGTTGCATTCACAAGTCCAGTTATTCAGGACATATATTGAAGCCTGAAGCCAACCAAGAACCCTGTGCAGCCGTCAAACGTGGTTATTTGTACACCTGCCCCATGAAGGATGTAACCTTCAATTTAAGTACTATACATAGGTCAAACAAGCTCACAAGATGTTTATCCTGTCATCTTCAATCAGGTGTTCCTAAACATCACATAGGAGAAGGCTATGATATCACCCTAATAAAAGGAATGCTGAATAATAACCACTTGTATAATAAAGCCCAAGATGTAAGGAGATTAAAAGTTCTTGAAGTCCTACACATAAAAATAGAATGCACCATAAACACTTAAAAGAATAAATTATTCATTCTCCCCACTATAAGAGTGAGAGCAAGACTGAAACTCAAAGATGCCAAAGATGCCCAAAATGCCATAATCAAAACTATGGTCACCTGAGTTCTTATATGTTTAGTTTATTGGCCCATCACATCACATTCCCTCTACGCATTTTCTTTTGCCTGTCACCTGACGTAATTTTGTATGCACCTGACTTTCCAGGGTTATAAATCAGATGTTTCCTCATGTCCTGCCATTCCTCACTTGAGAATGAACCATGAAGGTTCAAAATATTATGTAAATTTCAATAAGTATAATACATCATACAGTTAGTCTTCTTTTAGTCAAAACTTAAACAAATATGACATTTGAAGAAATCCTCATCCAATTAAACCAAGATGTTAGAGGGAAGGAAGGATAGAATAGAGGGGACAGAAGTTGGAGGGATAGAAGGAAATAAGAGATAAATAAACAAGGAAATAATAAACACAGAATATGCAGTCATATTCAACAAAACATACATACATTACATGTAGGGGAATTGACATGGTAGACAAACTCTTTAGCACGGGTGGAACACGAACAAAGGGACACAAGTGGAAACTTAGCACACACATGATAAAGATTCTGTTTAACACGGGTGGCACGCTCACAAGGAGAGACAGGTGGAACTGTGTAGCCAAATGAGCCACTTGGAATTTAGAAAAAACTTTTTCAGTGTCAGAGTAGTTAACAGATGGAATGCATTAGGCAGTGATGTGGTGGAGGCAGACACCATACACAGTTTCAAATGTAGATATGACAGAACCCAGTAGACTCAGGAATCTTTACACCAGTTGATTGACAGTTGAGAGACGGGACCAAAGAGCCAGAGCTCATCCCCTGCAAGCACAACTAGGCAAGTACACACACACATACTGTATATGCAGCAGTTGTATGGTGCCCAAATCTCAAGAAACACATAAATAAACTGGAAAAGGTGCAATGGCATGCTACAAAATGGCTTCCAGAACTGAAAAACAAGAGGTACAAGGAGAGGCGTTAAATATGCCAAAGCTAGAAGATAGAAGAAAGAGAGGTGATATGATAACCACCTACAAAATAATAATGGGAATTGACCAAACTGACAAAGAGGAATTCCTGAAACTGGCAACCTCATGAACAAGATTCAGGTAAAGAGGTCATTGATTCAAGCTCAGAGAAACAAAAGTGCCTAACAAATATTAGAAAGTTTCCTTTTGCAATCAGAGTGGTTGATGGTTGGAACAAATTAAGTGAGAAATTTGTGGAGGCTAAAACGGTCAGTAGTTTCAAAGCGTTATATGACAAAGCGTATTGGGAAGACGGTACACCATGAACATAGCTTTCATCCTGTAACTACACTTAGGTAGTAATTGCACACAACTGAATTTTGTAAACAAATTAAAGCTAATTAGGAAATGGCTAGGCTCTGTTTAGTTACATAGTTTTTATGAGACAAAAAATTGCCAGTTCAGCCCATATATCAGCAAGAAGGATCTTCAATATAGTTTTTGGTATTTTATGTGATGAAACTTACAGATAATGTGGTGTCAACATAACTTGTAATCAAAATGTCATGCTCCTGATGACCAGTCAACATTCTTGAATGTTGTTTAATTATAGGCATTTTGTAACAAATTATGTTTTGTTTCTTTTTATTCTTAGAAAGCGAGTATAAAATCTGCAGAGAGGAACAATTTCCTATACTGTTGTCAGGGGGTTTCATTCCAGACATGGACCTCTCCTAACATGTATGTGTCAAACAATTAGTGTCCCCACACTTCTGGGTGTTGTGTCATGCTGAGCAAAAACATACACGTGTTTTGAGTGGCTTTGAAAATTTTGTAAAAGTGTTCATGTTAGAAATTATGGTATAAATTCAGGCACTGATATTTTTTAGGCTGTATCATTACCCAAGAGGACATGTTATATAAGGCAATTCCAAACTTATTTTATCTTCTACTGTATTTCATTGTGTTTGTGATAAATGTATGTTTATAAATGGGCAGTGTGTGTGTGTGTGTACTGCATTTAGGTGTGTAAGTGGATGGAGTGTACTTATGGAGATAGACTTCATTCAACACACACCTGCCTATCATATTCCAAAAGCTGTATATGTCTATCCCAACCTGAATTTGAAATGTCATAATTTGTTTGGATAGGGATTGTATATAACATAGGTAAAAAGCAGTACTGTACATGCATCATGTAATTTTGAGTGTGGATGTTTGAGACTTGAGTGAGAGTTACGCAAGATTGACCTAACACCATACCTTACAGGTGGCAAGACCATCCAGGCTACCTTATGAATGGTAACATGGTATTAAACTATGATGGGGATTAAACTGTTTGGAGAAGATACATAGAATTTTGTTATAAATATATATTCATTCAGTAAATTGAAATCTTTGTACTGTGCTGTATTTTGTATTTTCAAATCAGTAGTTATATACAGTATAGTATTTTGAGATTAACATGTTTCAAATCAAACAAGAAATCTCTACTGTATGTCGTATATACAGTAGCTTTTATTTAGTTATGGATTTAATGTTAAGCATTAATGTTTTATAAATTATTACAGCCAGTTCAGCTTCAGATTCCAAAAGAATACCAGTGATGCCATTATTAGTTTGCTTAATCTACACAGACCTTGACAAAAATGAGTTTACAATTGGCCTCTTCACTGACATGAGAAAGGCTTTTGATACAGTAAATCACAATAACCATCTACTTAAACTACGTCACTATGAAATTTGAGACCTCGCTTTTAATTACATTCTACATTCAATCAGATCTCAACAACAGACACCAATATGTAGTCATCAATGACATAACCTCTCCCACTCTTCTATCAACCAAAGAGTTCCACAAGGCAGCATTTTAGGATCTCTCCTATTTCTTTACCTGAATTAACCTGAGGGCCACCATCTCTCTAGTGGCCTCGACAGGGAATAGGAAGCTGGCAGCTTGTCAAAGCTCCCCCAATTGTTTCCGAGGAATTTTTCTTTGGCATTTATTGCTTCAACAGGTAGGCAGTTCCATGGGTTTGTAACCTTAAACTTTGTTTTATTTTGAAACGAATAATCAAACCAAATACACTTTTAGATAGACAGTGTAAACATTTATAGTAAATGTGAGGGAAAGTTCCTTGGCTTATACATAAGACTTGCCAAAAAAGTAAAAACTGTTGGTACACTGTACTCTCAAAAATCAGATACTATACCCTTACTCTGCTCTTCTCAAACTATACTATTCGATAATAGTATAGTATAATCCCTGTTTAATGGTATACAGTAGGTGCATTGAGTTCAGCCACTGCAACTACCTCAAGCCCATCATCACCCAGCAAAAATCAGCTATCAGAACTCTTAACAAATTCTATCTTCAGACAACACAACCACTTTGTTTAAATCCTTTAACATGTTAAGCATACACTCACTCCATACATACTCTTGTGCTATTTACACTTACAAAACCTTATTCCTAAATTCTAATGCTGTTCTGAAACTCTTCCAAGATAAATGTAAAAGAACCATGAACATCACACGAGAAATACAGTAAATATCGCTGATATTCCCAGTCAGGCTAAATCTATGCAAACACGTCATGCAAATAATAGGACCCAATTTATGGAACTCCCTTCCCAGTGAATTAAGAAATTGTTCAACCTATACTTTATTCAACAGTAGAACTAAGTCATCACCTTAAAACCCACCTCCGCCAGCTCCCCGCAGGGGTGGGGGGATATGGATATGAGAGGCCCACCTTGTGCTACTAATTTATCTAATTTATTTCTAATTTAGAAATACAACACAAAAAAATTTAATTTCTATCACCACTTTATATTATTATAGTAACTATGTGAATTAAAATTCTTTCATTATATATCTCATTACATTAATTTTTTGTTCAAGATTACCTTTCACCTTTTAATTTTAAATTTACTGTAAGAATGCATCAGTTAATCACCAATACTGTATACTGTATGTACTTTCACAACTCATTGTACCTTGTATACTGTAAATATACATAAATAAATAAATAAAAATAAATATAAATTTTTATACATAACATTATTCTCTTTACACCACTTTACTTATGTTTGTAAAAACATTGTCATATTACCTTTTAATTGATAAATGAGCAAATAAATCTTTTAAGATAATGTAATTGTATGTTTTATTTTCCAGTTTTCATTTATCAGAAATTGTTGGAATAGGAAGTAACAATGGAAAGCCCCTCTAGATATGGCATGCCTTCTTCCAGGCTTGGCACCTTCTTTCAATACTTACTTATGGCATCATTTAAACCAATAAAAACTCCTCCCATTGCATCACAATTTCAAATGGAGCTCCCTGATGAGTTGCAAATTACAAACAAGCTCATGAGGGTATAACCATCAATGCCCCTAGACAGAACACACTGTATCTTGTTTAAGGGGTATAATAGCCATATAAATTTGAAGTGAATAAAATTTGAGAATGTCAAATGTGTGAATAAAACATTGACATTGACTCATCAGCTTCCCAATTGTTTAGTCGAGTCCATATATGCTATTATTCATCACTGGATGCACTCTCTCTACAACTGAGGTATGATTCATGAGCTGAGGGAACATCACTGATCTAGTCCTATTTTGAATGGTGAGGTAAACTTTACTGGTTGTGCCACAAAGGGGTACTACCAGTAGTGCCTTTCATACTGCATATTGATCCTAACAGGAAAAGGTAGACCATTCAGCTTTACAAATTCCTTATGAACCTGAATCCAGATTATTATTTGAAAGCATGGACACCTCACCTTAAACAAATGCAACTGCATTGGGATTACCATCGTCCAAAAACCAAATGTTGAGTTCACTGGTTATCAGTGACTTCTTTGGTGAGTAGGCAGAAAAGAAAAGGAGTAAGGGGGTCACCCTGTTGGACACCTCGTGATTCTAGTTCATGTTCCCAGAATAACAGTTATGTCCTTGGTGTAACAAGAGTTGAGGGAAGAGGGAAGGAAAATAGCGATGACCCGCACAGAGTACTGCATCCCTTCTAACCAGATTGAAAGTATTTTTTTTTTAAATCCAATTTGATCAGGGCTTTTTCTGCTGTAATGTTGGCAATGTAGGCTCTAGCTACACGAGCCGCTGCCTCACATCCTTGGGGAATGCCAAACCCGAGCTGTTTTGGCTCAGCTGTTGGAGGTGTATCCTCTGACTGCTGGTATGGAGTGTTGAGTAATTAGAGTACGTAATTACTCAACACAAAGCTGCTATTAGGACAATATCCAACTCTGGCCCCAGACATCACTCGGTACCCCTACTCAAATCTCTGAATATGTTAGATATTAAGTCACTGCACATTCTCTCATGTGTATTATACATATATAAAACGCTGAACTGTAATGCCAATCCTGACCTCAAAAGCTTCATTGAAGGTTGTAATTAGCTAAGCAAGTTACAATCTTGATGAGCTAGTTACAAAATTCAATATAAGTCGTCACATCAACAATGGGTTCGAGATCGACCACAAATACAGTTTCTAAATTAAGCAACTGACATATGTGGAGAGCTAGTGTCACAATTTATATGTTTGTCCTGCACACCGCCCCCCATCCAGTGGGCAGCGGTGGATAGGTTACAATCACTTAGTTACTACCTACAGTTAGCAAACTGGGGATAATTGGCTAAATTTCTGGTAGCAGATCATTTTGAATGAAATATTTACACATCGCTGGAACATTGGTTATAGAATTATCTCTAAATTCACGTATCTTTTCGCATTCCATCACATAGTGACGGAGGATGTGCGAATAACACATATGTACGTGGGTAATTATTGGTAATTAGTAATATTAATTATTTAGCATTACTTGTGCATAGGCGATATACATCCGTCGTTATTATTCTTAAGTGCACCATTTATAATTCTGGGATGAATTCTCTAACCTTGTATACTTTATTTACGATCTATTATGTTTGGGTGCATGTGCCTATACTTCCGTAGACTAAGTATACAAGTATAGTTATTAAGGTCACTTAACATGTATCCCTGCACATGCACACCATCGCCTGCAACTCAAGTTCTAGCAACTACAGATGCAACTTTCTAGCACCCGCGAAGCTGTAAAAAAAATCACGCAGCTTCAGTTGCAATTTACTAGCAAATGCAGTTGCAACAATTCCATGCAACTTGCAGTTGCAAATATTTTATTATTAATATTTAAAACTAATAAATAGTTTATATCGCTTATGGTGTTTTGTTTCACCCGACGCACAAAAATTCCGTATAATGAAAAATACGTTGCTTGTTTTACTGCTGATTGTCCTTCCTTATATATTACAGTGCACAGTTTTCAGCTTTAAGAACATTATGCATCACTTAACATTTGGTATAAGACAATATAAGGTGTGGCGTGTGATGTTAAGAGTGCATCACAGTAATGTTTTATAAGCACGCACCATCTCTACTCTCCACCAACCATTAATTAAATACTTATATACATAACCTTGTGCTACTTCTTCCTTCTCTCTCTTATTATTTCATCTTATAAGAATTTACCACATAAAATAGAGGTTGAAGAAATGTTTTCTTGGGATATGTTAGAGAAGGAGTGTAATACTGTGGTAACAATTTACCAGCGGCTTCATAATTTGCGCGCGTCGTCCTGCCGGTGTTGACTTTTGAGTGACTTGCATGACCATGACGTCCCGCAGGAAAAATAAGAAAAGCTGCAGTAAGTAGTGTTATGGCGGGTGTTGTGTGGTGTGGCAGTGTTCTTGGAGGATGAGACAGTGCAGGAGAGGTGGAAAGATCAGTGATGGCCTCTTGGGAGACGCGCTACACGCTAGCCAACTCTGGGGTTGCCTTGTGACGTGACCATTGCTGATGCGCGCCGCTAACTGTGTTTGAAGGCGTTAACGGTGTGTTGTGCGGTGTGGCGAAGTGGGTGTGGGTGGTAGGCGTCCCTGGCACTGTGGCTGGCACCCCTGGGGTTGTATCATGCTGGGGGAGGTGGCAGCTGGGGAGCTCCTACAGCAGGCAACACTGTAGTAGGCGGGTCCTGCCTCTTGATCCCCACATCCTGGCACCATCTAACTCTCGCATGTTTCACCTTACTCTGTTTTAACCCCCCCAACCATGTGTCATTCTCATGCCCATGTCTTCTGCCTTCAAAAACTGTTTTAGAGACAGTTAATGTAACAGCTTTTGTAATCTTATAATAATTAAGCAAAGCATCTAATTGGTTTACACATGCTTTTTGTTGGAAGGTGAACCCTATCTTCATTATACTGTACCCTCAAACTCCAATGTCACTGCCATAACCATGCTCATCACCGTAATGCATTGGCAAACCTAACTAAATTCTAACCTAACTCGTCCACATTGGTGGCATATGACTAAAATGCAGTGGTGCCTTATTTTCATGCCTCTGATGCGTCTATAATATTGTAATGGAAAATGGGGCATTTAAAGAATTTGACTGTTTTTTTTTACTTAGTGTTGTGCTTGTGAACATTCTGTGCTCTTCTCACCAAAATGCAATTTCTGAGCATCTCCATTTTCTAGGTTTACTGCTTTTAGTATTGTGGCACTAGATTATGTAATACTGTAACCTAACTTTGTCACATGCATTCTGGGCTAAAACAGTATTTGCTCACTTAATGTATTGGTGGAACTGTGTATTACATTTGATAGCCTGTGTAGCATTTCTTGCTGCTAGTTTTTTTGTCTATTCAGTAGGCCATGGTCCTTTGTGGTTCCTTTTTTGGACTGGGGGGAGGGGGGAGGTTCATTTAGTTCTGCCTTTGGAACTAGTCTCTTCGTGTGGCTCTATTTCTGGATTCTTGGGGTTTGGTTCACTGGTGGGTTGTGCCCAACATTCTCATGACCAGTTTCCTAGCTTGTTACTTAGGTACTCATCTCCCCTAGTTGTGCTTTCGGGGGTTGAGCTTCGGCTCTTTGGTCCTGCCTCTCGACGGTCAATCTACTGGTATTTAATATTTGTGTCTGCAGAATCGAGCTATTAGCTCCTGGACCTCGCCTTTCTAACCAATTTATTTTTCCTCTACTATATCTACTACATATATTTATAACACACACACATCCCCAGGAAGCAGCCCATAGCAGTTGTCTAACTCCGAGGTACTTATTTACTGCTAGGTGAACAGGGGCATCAGGGTGAAGAAAATATCTGGATCAACATCCTCTAACTTGTTCAGTATTTTAAAGTTTCATTGAGATTTGCCCTGTCATGCCTGATTTGCTGTGTTGTTAGCTGTGACCTTCAAGTGTTCCTGATACGAGAGATGACTTAGCTCTGGAATGACTTCTGTTGCCCAGTATTGCACCTTCTCCAGAGCAGTTATGTCCTTCCGAAAATGAGGTCTCCATGCTTGGATAAAGTAATCCAAATGCGGGTGTCCCAGAGATTTATACAGTTGAACCATTACTTTCTTTTCCTTTCAGTCAAAAGTACGTTTGATTATCCCAAGAGTTTGATTAGCTTTTCTGGCTGCTGCACCCACCTGTTGTACAACTTTTAATGAGTGGGGGAATTTGACTCCAAGGTCTGTTTCTTCATCTATCTGCTGTAATGTAATGCTATTACTTTGGTAGTAGTGGCATGGGTTGTTATGCCCAACATGCAAGGTCTTGCATTTGTTAATATTAAAAGCATTTGCCAGCCTTCTGACCATTTGTGGAGTTCATGTAGATCTTTTTGTAAGGCCTCGATATCATTATCATTTCCAACTTTACTTAATCTTTGTTATCTGCAAATTTAATGATATGGTTTGTAATATTCTCATCTATGTTATTGATGTATATGACAAAAAGGGTAGGTCCCAAAATGGATCCTTGTGGCACCCCACTTATCACATTTCTCCTTTCTGATTCGTATCCATTTAATATGACCCTTTATTTTCTTTCCTTCAACCATTGTTTTATCCATTCTAATATTTTACCATTTATTCCATGGGCCTGTAATTTCCTTGCTAGTCTTTCATGTGGTACCTTATCAAAAGCTTTAGCAAAATCCATGTATAATTACTACTGTATATTCACCGGAAGGCCATTGTTTGAGTAGCTGGTTACTGTTTCCAAAAATGTGAGCAAGTTTGTAAAGGTGGATCGGTTTCAAACAAATCCAATGTGTCGATTGTACAAGGTTGTTCACTGAAAGATGGCGAGTGATTCCCTTCCTGAGGATTCTCTCCATGAGCTTGCAGGTGTGTGATGTCAAGCTGATTGGCCGGTAGTTTTCTACTGAGCTCTTTCTGCCATTTTTGGAAATAGGGGTGACATTTACATATTTTCAATCTAGTGGGACTACCCCTACCCCTTCGTCCAGAGATTTTGTGAAAAGTAGTTTCAGCAGTAGGCATAGTTCTTCTGCCAGTTCCCTTAAGACTATGGATTGGATTCCATCCACACCTGGTGCTTTTGAGTCTTTTAGTTTGTCTTTTTTTCTAATTTTGCATATTATAGGTACTGTATATTCCTAATTTCATTCTCCTCCCCTCCTTCAAACATATGTGTGGGTGATGGGATGTCATCCAACCTTTTGAGTGTGAACACTGATGTAAAAAATCATTTAGTGTTTGCTGCCCTTTTATCATCCATTATAGCTTGGTTAGTCATATCTATTAAGGGTCCAACTGAGTCCTTTGTTTTGGTTTTACTTCTTGTATAGACATAGAACAATTTTGTATCTTTTTGTTTTGGGCAAGTTTTATTTTGTCGTTTCTTTTGACTTCTGATTTTGTGTGTGGCCGAGTTTGGTGGAATAATATTTTAATATTTAAATAAATATGATAAATTAAGAATTCTTTCAATTATTACATTTTCATATTTTATTCTTGGTTGGGAAGTAAACTCAAATCCATTTATAAAGTAGTGTACATATGCTTGGTCTCTGACTTTAAACTCCAATGTTTGTAAAGTTGTTGCTGTACCAACTGTTGTTCTTAGTTTTAGTTTTATTCCTGAACTGGGGACCCATCTAGTTGTCAGGTAAAGAAGTGTTACATGTGCTAAATTTGTAATAAGTATTGCATACAGTATAATGTATAGTATTTTTGTCATCTTCAGTACTAGAACATGTAGAAATGGTCAGAATCTGATTTACATTTGGATTTGATATATGGTACAGTACAGTATCACTCTCCTTAAATGTGAATACAGCAGTATTGTACATTATTTACATGATGTACAAGAAGGTATATTTTTAATTGTATTGCTCTGCCTTTTCAGGTGATAGTGCAGAGGAAAAAATGACAACAAGAAAACGAGGGAGGAGCGAGAGTTCCCCTGCACTCAGTGCTGCGTCAACAACTCCACCTGAGACTGGACGTGTATCAAGGAGGAACCTGGCACATGCCAGCCCATCACACATCGCTCCAGAGTCACCTCCAAGAAAAACCCGAAGAGGCACCTCCACACCAGATACGCCTCAGAGAACTAGTCCCAGAGGGCGGGGAGGGCGCTCACCTGCTGCTGTATTTAATGACTCTCCCAAAAGTATATCACCAAGAGGCAGGGGCCGAGGAAATCGAGGGGGAAGTACAGATTCTAATGCCAGCAGTGTTGCATCTACCTCCACTCCATCGAGGCGGCATGGGCGGAGAGGGAGTAGCAGCTCAAATGTAAGAGTAGTATCGGAGAATGTGCAGGTTACACCTACCAGAGGTAGAGGACGCAAGAGAAAGAAATCAAAGAGTCCACCTGCAGTTTTGTCTAAGAAAACTAATGGTGCATCACCAGAGTATTCACCCACAGGTTCTAAAAAAAGAAGGGGCACTGCTGAAGTAGATGCACCAGCTACAAATGGGAGAAATGGTCGCAGAACTCGAGGCAAGAAGGGCACATCAGAGACACCACCTCAGGAAGATTTAGATGGCGGTACAGATGAGGAATCATCACATTTGGATGACACAGAGTCTAGTACACTTGAGAATTCTGCAGACTCTTTGAAGATTGCAGAAACTGAAACTGAATGTGAACTACAAAACAACTCTTCTCAACCTGAAAGTGATGCTGAGGAGGTTAAAAAAGTTGAAAATGATCATATGAATGATAAGTGTGACAAAAGTGCAGATGATGATCAGACAACTCGCACTAGTGAAGCTAAACAGCATTTGAATAAAGAAAGCGAGTATCGTGAAATTGGGGATCAACCAAGCAAGTCGTACGAGAAGAAGGTACAACAGCATTCAGAAAAGCAAAGCGAGTTGGGAATAATTAAAGTTCAAAATGCAGAACATGGCAAGTCATCAGAGAAAGAGGTTGAACAACAATCTGAAAATCAGAGTGAGTCATGCAAGAAAGAGGATGAAGAATATGGTGAAAAACTAAGCGAGTCAGGTGAGAAAGAGGTTCAAGATGCAAAAAATCAAATGGAGTCAGGTCCATGTATAAATAAGCTTCAAGATTCTGAGAAAAGCGATTCATCCAAAAAAGGGGTTCAGCAGAACCTGCAAGAAAGAGAGTCATATTTGAGCAAGGCTCAACATTTTGAAAAACAACAAGAGTCTTGCACGATGGGGGATCAACTTCCTAAACAGAGACCGTCATCAAAAAAGGTGGTCGAGGAACAATCGGAACAGAGCGAGTCATATGAGGAAGAGGTTCATCAACAATCAGAACAAAGTGAGTCATGCGATGAAAAAGCTCAATGCTTAGAACTAGAGTTATGCACAGATGAGGTTCAACAACATTCTGAAAAGCACAAGTCATGTGAGAAAGAAGTTCAACAACAATCGGAAGAAATCGAGTCGTGTGAGGAAGAGGTTCAACAACAGTCATTGCAAAGTGAGTCGTGTGAGGAAGAGGTTAAACAACAAAACGAACAAAGTGAGTCATGTGAGAAAGAGGTTCGACAACAGTTGGAACAAAGTGAGTCATGTGAGAAAGAGGTTCGACAACAGTTGGAACAAAGTGAGTCATGTGAAGCAGCAGCTCAACAACAATTGGAACAAAGAGTGTCGTGTGAAAAAGAGATTGATCAACAATCGGAACAAAGCAAGATATGTGAGGAAAAAAATCAACAATCAGAACAAAGTGAGTCATGTGAAAAAAAGATGCAACAACAATTAGAAGAAATCGAGTCTTGTAAGGAAGAGGCTGAACAACAATCGGAACAAAAGAAGTCGTGTGAGGAAGAGCTTCAACAGTCAGAAAGTGAGTCATGTGAGAAAGAGGTTCAACTATCAGCACAAATGGAGTCATGTGAGAAAGAGGTTTACCAACAATCGGAAAGCGAGTCATATGAGAAAGAGGTTCAGCAGCAATCAAAAAGCGAGTTGTGTGAGAAAGAGGTTCAACGATTAGAACAAAGTGAGTTGTGTGAGAAAGAGGTTCAACAATCTGAAGAACAAATGGAGTTAGATCTACACATCAATGAGCCTCACCATTCTGAGCAAAGTGAGCCATTCAAAAGAGAGGTTCAGCAACATTCAGAAGATCAATATAAGCCTGTGTCATTTGGAACAGTGGTTCAACAATCAGATAAACAGAGTGGGTCATGTGAAAATAAGGTTGGACATTCAGAAGAAAAAATGCATTCATTCATTGTTGAAGTTCAATGTACCAAACCAAATGAGTCGTGCGAGGAAGAGGCTAAAGAACATTCGGAAAGTCAGAGCAAATCATGCAAAATCGAGTTTCAACATTCAAGAGAACAAAGCGAATCATTCATTAATGAAGCTGAGCAAGATTTAGACAAACAGAGAAAGTCACAAGAGGAGAAGGTTCAGCATTTAGAAGCAGAAAGTGAGACATGCAATAAGGAGCTTCAGCATTCTAGAAAAGAAAGTGGATCTTACATTAATGAGTTTAAACAACAGTCAGAAAAGCAGAACTATTTGTGTGAAAATAAGACTGTGTGTTCAGAAGAAGGTAAATCAATCATAAATGAAGTTCAGCTACATTTAATAGGAAACGAGAGTGAACCATCTTGTGAAAAGGGTCTGCAATGTTCAGAACAAAAGAATGAATTGGTTGAAAAAGAGATTCCATATGTTGAAGAACAAAGTGATTTGTCTGAGAAAGGGGTTCAACAAAATCCAGAAACAAATATTGATTCCTGTGTGAACAAGATTCAACATTTAAAAGAAGAGACAGAGACTTGCACTGATGAGCTTCAGCATTCTGAAAAAAAGAGCGAGTCATGTGAGGAAAAGGTTCAACCTATGGAAAAACAAAGCAAGCCATCTGAGAAAGAGATTGGACATTCTGAAGGTGAGCCAAACAAGGAACAGGTTCAGCAACATTCAGGAGCAGGTGAACCATGCAATAAAGAGGTTCAACAACATCCACAACAAAGTGAGCCACATGCAAAAGAGGCTCAACAACATTTAGAAGAGCAAAGTCAGTCAGTCAAAAGCAATGCTCAACCTGTAAAAGAGATGGAGTTGTGCATTAATGTGGTTCAACAGCATTCAGAACAAAGTGAGCCACCAGAAAAAGATGTTCAATGTTCAGAAGAAAATAAGCTGTGCAAGAAAGAGGTTTGTCAAAATTCAGAAAGAGAGTCAAATAAAACAGTTGAACAACATTTAGAAAAAAGTGAGTCGTGCAGCAAAAAGGCTCAATCATTAGAACTAATGGAGTTATGCACAGATGAGGTTCAGCAATATTCTCTAAAACATGAGCTGTGTCAGAAAGATGTTCAACAATCAGAACAAAGTGAGTCATGTGAGAAAGAGGTTCAGCAATCAGAACAAAGTGAGTTATGTAAGAAAGAGGTTCAACAATCAGAACAAATTGAGTCATGCGAGAAGGGAATTGAACAGTCAGAAGAAAGTGAATCATGTGAGAAAGAGGTTCAACAATCAGAACAAGGTGAATCATGTGAGAAGAGAATTAAACAGTCACAAGAAAGTGAATCATGTGAGAAAGAGATTCAGCCTTTAGAAGAAATGGAGTTATGCATAGATGAGGATCAACAGCATTCAATACAAAGAGAGTTGCAGGAGAGAGAAGTCCAGCAATCTGAGAGAGAAAGTGAGCCATCTGATAAAAAGTATCAACATTCAGAAGATAATAAGTCATGTAAAAAAGATGGTGAGCAAACTTCAGAGGAAGGCAGGTTCCGTGTGGAAGATGCCCAACAACATCCAGTAGTAAGTGAAAAACAGAGCAAGTCGTGTGAAAATGAGGCTCGGCAACTTGGACAAATGGAGTTGTGTATAAATGATGATCAACAATATAATAAACAAAGTGTGTCGCATAAGAAAGAGGTTCAGCAACATTCAGAAAAACGGAGCTTATCTGAAAATGAGGTTCATCATTTAGAAGCACAAAATGCGACCTGCAATAATGAGTCTCAGCATTCAGAAACAGAAAGGAAATTATGTCTAAATGAAACTCGACAACAATCGGAAGAAATTAATTCGTGCAATGAAAACGTTCGACCGTGCTTGGAAAAACTGAGTAAGTCGTGTGTAAATGAAGTTCAGCAACATTCTGCTGAAAGTGTGTCACATGAGAAAGTTCAGCAGCTTCCAGTGAAACAAAGTGATTTTTGTGAGAAAGAGGTTCAACAGTATTCAGAAAAAGTAAGTGAGACTTGTGAAAATAATTTAAGTGCCATTTCTCAAAAACTGACAGAATTGCATGAAAATGAGAGGTTGGATAAAGTTGAAAATCAAAGTGTGTTGTGTGAACATAAAGATGTTATTGAAGATGCCATTGCTCCTTCAGGTAGTAGTGTACCTACCAGTCACAAGAGTCTGATGACAAGAGATCTGCTTTGCTCCTCGGAACAAGGCTCCTTAAGAACGTGTGACCCAGGCATTAAAGGTATTGTGTTGAATTCAACTGCAGTGGTCAGCTTGCCTACAAATAGTTCTAGTCATGTGGAAAATTCAAAGAAGAGACATATTAGTGGGGATTCCTCAGATTTTGGCTGTCCAGAAGAACAACCTCCAAAGAAAGCTAAACTAAGTGGTAGTGTACCTGACATTTCTAGTAAAACAGAAACTATAAATAACGACAATGACTCGTATAGAGGAAAGTTTGCAGGAAATAAGGAAAGAGAAAGCCCCAAAATTATGAACTGCATAAAATTGGATGTGAAAGGAGACATGGAAACAGATACTGTGACACAAGCTGAAACCTTTCTAGAATCACTTGGCCTCACAGAACAGCAGACCTCAGAAGTTTGTTCAGTTCTTCCAGCTCATGTGAAAGGTAAAACCTCTCATTAAATACATTTTTTTTATTTCTTATATAAAGGTAATTGCATTTTCTATGACTACTACTGTACTAGCCTTTGATATGAAAACGCTCATGTAATGTTAACTTTATATGACAAAAATATGTTGCACTCCCAAGACCTCCAAAAGTTTTTCTTGAGGTTATCTTGAGAGGATTTCGGGGCTTTTTAGTGTCCCCGCGGCCCGGTCCTCAACCAGGCCTCCACCCCCAGGAAGCAGCCCGTGACAGCTGACTAACACCCAGGTACCTATTTACTGCTAGGTAACAGGGGCATCAGGGTGAAAGAAACTGCCCCCATTGTTTCTCGCCGGCGCCTGGGATCGAACCCAGGACCACAAGATCACAAGTCCAGCGTGCTGTCCGTCCGGCCGACCGGCTTGTATTTTATTTTCATTTCTCAAGTACTGTAAAAGCATTCCTGAACATTACTAATACTCTCACCGTAATTACAGTTCAAAATGAAGTAAAGACTTGAGATATGGTCATTGTTGTGGTAGCATCACTAGGCCTAACCCCAAAATGCCAGGAATGGCTAATTCATCTCTTAACTTTGTGATAATAGTAGGCAGATAATGGTGCTATACAGTGCATCATGAGGTGTTACCCAAACATGGCTAGCTGCATTTGTTCATTGGGGTTAACACTAATGTTAGGAAAAAGATTATGTAATCAGGCAAGATGATGTATGGATCAGTGCCACAAGGACGTTTTCATTCTGTCCCCTGCAGGCTCATATAGGCTAAGATGCTAGGTAATCACTTTAGAAAAATATCAATCCAACAAGGAGAACATAGAAAATGTTTATGAAATGGTTTTCTTTAGTCAGAGACAGGAAGCATGTTAGGCTTGTCAAGGTGCCCCTAGGCCAACCATTGACCTTCCCCAGGATGCAACCCACAACAGTTGCTTAACTCCCAGGTACCTATTTAATGCTAGATGAACAGGCATTGCATGATAGCAAACATTGCCCAATTGCTTCTATACTGCACAGTGAAAATACTTCAAGCAGCAAAGTCTTTGAGACACCCAGAAGCGAGTTGAAAGTACCACTGTTCATACCGTGCTGAAATCACCTCCAAGACCTGCAACTTAGTAGGATGAGAAGAAGCCTAAACCCACACATTGGGTGTCAAGATTGGGAATTCTAAGAAGATAGTACTATGCAGATATGGGGTTTAATCCTCAATGAACTAGTAGGCATCCATCAGTCTAAGGAGACTATGGAGTTGCCGAGCGGACAGCATGCTGGACTTGTGATCCTGTGGTCCTGGGTTCGATCCCGGGCGCCGGCGAGAAACAATGGGCAGAGTTTCTTTCACCCTATGTCCCTGTTACTTAGCAGTAAAATAGGTACCTGGGTGTTAGTCAGCTGTCACGGGCTGCTTCCTGGGGGTGGAGGCCTGGTCAAGGACCGGGCTGCGGGGACACTAAAGCCCCGAAATCATCTCAAGATAACCTCAAGATAGCCATCAACACATTATCTGTAAATTATGGTAAACCTTTTTCATTTAAGAGTTTCAATGCATGGTAAGTATTCGAGTATCAGTATTACATAATGGTCTTACCTGACAGTTTAGGGATGCAGAACTGTTGGATGCCATTAGCAGAACTAGATGAAAGGTTGTTTTCTTTGTTGTCATATTTATATAATTTTTTTCTTCTAGATTTGTCAGATGGAAGACTTGTGGAGGAGATAGTGGAGACACTCCTGGACGGGTCCAATACAGTAACAACCATGAATGCTCCACGCTTCAACAAGTTCCTCAGACAGTTACTAACATATTATTGCAACCTTGAGACCACCAAGGAGAAAAAACATGCACTCTGTGAGGTAAAATGTTTTGCTCCTATTTCTGATGTAACCATCACCATAAACAACAGTAATAATGGCAACCTACAGTTTACAGTACCTTACACCTCTATAATGTGTGCTCCAAATAAGGGACATTGAAATCATAAAATTCTTCTAAATATAGTACTGTAATTAAATTCCGTTTTAAAAATTATTAAGGGCACGACCCATCAGGAGATTGGTCCAATATGATACAGTAGTGAAAGTACCAGAAATTGGTTTAGTGGTTGCATGGAAATGCATATTAATTTCTACTTGATTCAAAAGTCTTATGTATTCATATCACTTCCAGAAAGCAGTACAATGGGCGCGTGACAGAAAAAGTGTGAATCTTCGGCACGAGTTAGAGCTGACGCTGATGTCGCTATACTACAGTACCTGTCATTATAAACAAGCAGAGGTCATTGCCAATGCTTTATATTCTGAAACCAAAAAGTTACAAGACAAGGAGAAAACTGTGAAGGTAAGATGTTTGACGTGAATTTGTGTTGTTTGACATGTCTGCACTATGGCTGTTGAAGAGATGAAACCGTCCTTTTCTCTTGTCACTTTACATCATGGTAACATTTCAGTTCTTTTCATCAGGTACCTCCAGTTGAGATATCTTGTGGTTTTGTTTTTCTTTTTTTTTTTTTTTTGACACAGGTTCTCTTTAAATATCTTGAGTACCTTGAACAAATCCACAAGGGCCGTGAAGAGGATTCAAATCCTCGGCCCTTGTGGATTTGTTCATTTGTTGCATCACGCTATTGTGATTTCTGTGTGTCTTGAGTACCTTGTTGTATTAACAAAATAAAAATGAGCTTGAACAATAACATATGGCTGCTAATAAAATAGCCCATATTTTGTTTTAAATTTGTGGAATATGTTGAACCTCTTTAGACAAGACTTAAAATCAACAATGTTTATGAATGATCATAAAATTAAGTTGCCTTTCAAGATTTGGCAGCGTAACCCAATGACGACTACTTTTATAACAGGCTCTGTAGTAGTAGTTTTTTCTGGAATATCTCATCATATTGACTTGAAAACTGAAAGTCATGCATGGTAATAAAACTGAGCTTTGCTTTCATTACTATATCCACTTGAGGTGGGAGTGTTATGGTGGAGTTTACAGCTAATCAGCTGATTGCTGCCAATCAGCTGATGGAAGAAATAACTAAATATAATCTAAAGCTGACTTCTTAACGTCAAAGATGAGATAAATAGTATGCTTTTTAAAGTTAATCATTGTTGTATACAGTTTCCCTGTAAAATTATTTGGTGAGGAATTGTACGATGCAGGTTGTTTGGAACCAGTTATTAGTTGCTGATTGCACTGTTTGCCTCTTGCCCACTCTTCTTTAGTTATTTACATGTATTTACATGAAATATGGTAAAGTTGTAAGTTACATGGGAATCTGTATGAAAAACTTGGAAGTTACATTTTAAAAGTGTTTATGTAGAGGTACAGTATGTTTGAAACTCCCTCACCTGCAGTCTTAGCTATTCCCTTCAAATAATTGTATTTCAGTTTATCAACTATCTGGAGGTAGGCCGTTTAATTTATCATTTTGGTGAATTATATTTTCACTTGAAGGATTTTTGTCTAATAAAGATTAAGAAAAAAGTACTTTTTGAGGTCCTTGGAATCTAACCTTCTCTCTTCCATATTGTTCTCTAGTTTGATTTGTGAGGGCTTTGATAAGCATGGTGTTTGTGGGAGCACAACCACCTTACACACCAGGGGCTGCCTCTACTCTAGTTCTATAGTTGGGATTCTTAAGGCAATTTTTTTCTCTTACTACTCACCAATACATATTATATGTAAGGTATCCGCTTCCTCCCACCATATTTGATTGTTTACTAAATACTGTATATTTTTAATGACTTAAAGAGTTTTAAGGTCACATCTTAGTGCCATAGATAAAAGTTAAACAAGTACTACATGTAGACATCATTTACACTACTGTATGAGCATTATTGGTGCCTCAATAGTCATGCATTTAGGTAGAGTAACTTTAGTACTCTCTCTTGTCCACTCTTTGAATATAATTTCTGGTATTGTAGCTACAATTATGATATATTACCCTCTATCTTATAGTCTTCTTTAGTGATGTCCTAAACAGAGTAGTAAGCAAATTTTCTGTTTGTATTTGCACAGGCGTGTTTGTGCTTAAGCCAAGTGTATCATGCCATGGGCAACATCTCCAAGGCTCGGGCCAACATCACCACTGCCAAGACGGAAGCTCTCAAGATTTATACACCCCCAGATATGCAGGGAGAGCTTGACCTACAATCGGGTATGCTTTTTTTTTTTTTTTACCTATTTTGTTTATCATGGTACAGGTATTACAAACATGGACACCATATTCACAGATGTTGTATCCACATACACTTGTATTTAGGTTAGAGTTTGCACAGTCCCATAATCATAAATTGCAATTACTGTACTCTCACTGGTAGTGGCCAGGTCTCAGTTCTTGGCTTGTCGAGACCTGCCTATCAATGGAGACCCATGTTATTTCAACACTTGTAAGGATTAAACTGTACATTGTCGTATAGAGTAGGGCACGCACGCACGCACGCACACACACTTGTGGGGTGCCTTGGGTCATGGGAAGGTTTGCTGGGTGTAGTGGGTGCTGGGTGGGGTGGATGAGGCTCCGGTGAGACTGACCGACTAGTTCACTCTTGCTGCCGGGTTCGTCACTTCTGTAATGTGTCTGACACACTGTAGCGAGAGTGTAAAGAATCAAATCAATATAAATACCATATGGTGTTTTGCTCACTTTGTCTAGGAGCTGGTGTTTATTACAGGAGAGGATTGTTGTGAGCTAGATCAGAAATGTGGCATTCAGGGCGAGTGGTCCCTGAGCCATCCTTCCCAGTGATGGCTCATGGATATTTATACCTATATGCGAACAAGCCTGAATGGTCCCCAGGCATATATGCAACTGAAAACTGAACTGCAATATACTGGAATATATGCAACTGAAAATATATATATTTATACATATTTATATATAATATTGATATATTTATATATTAATTATTTATATAATTTATATATATTCATTTTATTAAATTTATTGTATTTCATATATATTTTTAAAATTTTTATGATGATAATATCGGCAAACATGGTGTATTCTTCTGCTTTTTCAAAGTTATAGTTTGTGTTATTGTTTTGTGGATGATGCTAGTAGTAGTTTCTTATTTTAAATTATTGAGTGTTTCTTTCCATTGCTTATAATATGATACTTTTTAGGCATCATGCAAGTCGCAGAAGGCAAGGACATGGAAACTGCCTACTCTTACTTTAAGGAGGCAGCAACAGGGTTCACTTCTCATGAGCAGCGGGCACGAGCACTCAAGTACATGCTCCTTGCCAAGATTATGGTCAACAGGTAACTGCACCAAGTCTTCTTATCAGTAGCTTTGCTCTTTGGTTTCCCCTGGTCCCCATTCCTGGTATCACAGCTTTCTCAATTTCATCAATCTTCAAACCATATGATTATTTTTCATTGAGTGTTGTCTAGTGTTTATGCCATTGTGACCTTCCCTATGCCTTGTACACCTTGAGTATCATTGTAAGTGTCATTGTTATAAATAATGCTCTCCTCATCTTATTATTTTAGATTGTAGGATTAATATGTTTCATTATATTCATGGAAGCAGCATATTTTGTATTTGTTAAAGTGTCTCTAGAGGGATACAATAAAAATAGGAAGTCATTTAACTTCGGAGAGAAAAAAACACTTGTGCAGCTACAAGTGCACAAGTGTTTGTGCATTGGTGAACCCATGACATCCAGGATCACCTCTAAACGTGCACGGTATCGTGACCGTGTATGTTTACACGGTCACGGTGTAAAAGGTGTTGTGGTCATGCTACTAGGTACGTTTGGGGGGGGGGGGGTGATCCTGGACGTCATAGGTTCAAATCTTGGCCGGGGTCATTTAGAGTTCTAAGTGATTTATGGCTTGTGCATTCTGCAGCCTTTCTCACATTTGTAGTCTCGGCATGGCCTGTGCATGTGTCAGAATTTGATGAAAAACTGTATCCAAATGGATCCTTGAGTGTCGTTGGGGGTTGGTCAGTCATGGAGCTTAGTTAATAAGCACCAGAACTGACCAAGCCTTATTAGACAATCAATGGTGCGGTGGTCATGGTACCGTGTACGTTTAGGGGTGATTCTTGACGTCATGGATTTAAATCCTAGTCGGGTCATTTAGAGTTCGTAGTGATTTATGGTTTGTTCCTGCAGCCTTTCTCTCTCATTTGTATATACAGTATATATGTATGTATGTATGTGTGTGTGTGTGTCAAAGCGTATAACGCTTTCAAAGTGTTATACGACAAAAAACAGAGACAGAGTGACACCTAGGTTACGAGTTTCGCCTCGAATTACATAGTTTGTTGATACGCTTATGAGCGATCGAGCACATGGTTCCTGGTGGCACGGTATCCCACACTTCAGTTAACCAGTGCCTCCTGCTTAGTGACGATCGTGCCTGTATTCTTTGTTAAGAATTTCATTGTTTTTCGGCTTTTTGGGGTTTTGAACATAAAAGTAATTACTGTATTATATATCATGCCATGGGCCCAAGAAAGTCAGTGGTAAGGTTCAACCTAAAAAACACATGTGAGGATGACCATAGAGCAAAAACAAGAGATCATTTGTAAACATGAAAATGGTACAAGGGTTGTTGAACTAGCTAGGCAGTACAACAAATCTGTCACTGATATGCACTGTGATTGTTAAGAAAAAGAACATTGAGTACTAAAGTGGCAAAAGGCATATCAACAATCACGAAACAAAGAACACAAACACTTGAGGATGTTGAAAAAGTTATTAATTTGGATACAAAACTAGGAGTTAGCAGGTGATAGCATTTCAGAGACCATCATTTGTGAAATAGCAAGGCTATTGCATGAAGATCTTTTAAAGAAAGCCCCTGGAACAAGTGATGCAGATTCGAAAGAGTTTAAGGCGAGTAGGGGATGGTTTGAGAAATTTAGAAAAAGAAGTGGCATTTACAGTGTTGTAAGAGTCAAGTGTTGTGAGTTGGAGGAACACGGAGTAAGAGCTGACCACCAAAGAACTCTTAGCCCTTCACAAGGATCAGCAACAAGAGGCAGCTGAGGAAATTTCTTCTGGGGAGTCTTGGGAGAAGGTGGTGATACAGAATGTCCCTTCCTCAACAATTAAGAAGTGGTGTAGACTATGGGAAAAAATGCAAACTTTTGTTGAAACGATTTGCCCAGAGCAAGCAAGCTGTAGTAAGCCGTTGCCTTAACCTTTTTAATGACACTGTGATGACTCGCTACAGACAAGTGTTACAACATACGGAAAACAAGCCTCTATGGATAGATTTTTAGTGAGAAAAACAAGCAGGTCTTAGTGGTATGCAGGCAAAATGTGCCAGAGAGAGTGTACCCCAGAGACGTCATCACTGCCTGATGTTATAATGGAAGAGAACTCCTCTCCTAAACACTACCACCACCACCACCTGAGGAGGGGGTCCTCACAGTCTTCCATACGCCAACAAGAGTCGTCAATAAAGGTAAGCAATAACTTGTACATACTATTGTACTAAATCTGTGTGAATTAGGTATGAACTCTACTTTGAAGTTAATATTTTTAGGAGTGTGGAACGGATTAATTAAATTTACATTATTTTTTATGGAAAAATTTGTTTCGGGTTGAGAACCGTCTCTGGGAACGAATTAAATTCGTAAATGAAAGGGGGCCACTGTAGTTGTTTCAAAAAGCTTAGAACTCGGCTCCTTCAAAAAACTAGCTGCATTTTTACCCCAGTACAGGTGTGTATTTTATTAGTTTTTATATATATATATATATATATATATATATATATATATATATATATATATATATATAAATAAAATACACACACACACACACACACACACACACACACATATATACTTAAAATTTTGCTTGCTGACGGATTGATCAGAAACTCACTTGTCGTCCTCCAACACAGACAACTTTAATTAAACTAATTCATTTTTATTAGCTTTATTGTTTGTTCTTGTAGGGAGTGAGGAGGGAATGAAGGCTATCTTGTTTATTTTCACAAGGGCTGAGGAGGGAGAAAAAGCTGTGAAAAGCCCGAGTCATATTCAGGATATTGATGAGGGAGTGGAAGCCATGCTCGCCATCGCAACTGCAGCTAACAAATCCTCTCTTGCAGACTTCAGGTAATATGTTTGCTCCCGTGAGTGTTATACTGTTTGTCCCAGACTGGCAAGAATGGAGCACAGTTTGTGGACACTCACATAAACTGTTCTTACTTGTAAATTGTTTAATATATCTTGTTTGTTACATTAATTTGCTTGTGATAAGAAATATCATTAGCAATGCAGCTGCAAATTGGGTAAAGAAGGATCCTTGATAGATATTTGTTAATGGTTGGTGTGCAGGAAAACACGTGAGCAATATGGTGAGCATCTGGCTGGAGACATGGTTGTAGCCAGCGTTCTGGACGACCTCTACACCACAATGATGGAGAAGAACCTTCGCAACATTGTCTTACCATATGAAAGATTACAGGTCAGTTCATTTTAAGCTTTATAGTAAACACACACACCTATACATCTGTCTGTCTTTATATATTATATACTTCTGTAGATAGAAGGTGGACATACTATTCTTACTTTCACTGCCTAAGGCATCATTATTCTTACTATACTGTGCCATCATCTGACACTACCATCCTCACTATACTGTGCCACCACCTTTGACACCACTGTCCTCACCAGTATTGTGCCACCACCTTTGACACCACCACCATCCTCACTTTACTATTAAGATTTGTATTTGAGTTTATTGAATTTTAGACAAATTTGCAGATGCTAATTTTAGACAAGTGAATTTTCTAAAAAAAAAAAAATTAATATTTTCTTTCCTTTAGATTGCTTACATTGCTGATCAAATTAGTCTTCCACGAGAAGAAGTGGAGAGGCGACTCTCGCAGATGATCCTAGACAAGCGTATCAATGCTCAGCTTGATCATCGTGATGATTGCCTTTATGTTTATGCCTCTGAAGACTCGGATGCTGTCTATCAAACAGGAATCGACACACTTTCTCAGCTAGATAAGACAGTGTCGCACCTCAACCGCAAAGTCAAGAAACTGTTGTAGTAAAAATTGCGCTTAGGAATAGCAAGTTCCACAGAGAACAAAGAACAGCTAGTGTCCTTTAATAAATAAAAAAATTTTGTATGTTGTCACGGAGCGCAATATTATATTTCTAAGATTTGAAGCTGAAATGAGTTTATTAACTGTAATAGGTAGCACTCAAATATTTTATGGTAGTCATGAGAGGTTAAGGCATTAAAGGAAAAGCTACTCAGTCAACAAAATAGTTGTTGTGGTTTCATGAGGTGAAATGTGTCTTGAGAGAAGGTACAGAATATATTGAATATACCTTTCATATATGTTCTCTTTTTTCACCTTTTTCTTTTTCTCCGAAAAGATATTATTATGGAATGACATTTTTTCTTGTCACAAACTAGATAGTTATGAAGAGGCATTTATGTATAGTAAATCTAATATCTATACATGTGTACAAACACACAAAGGCAGGCACACACACGTGCACTCACTCACATGCATACTCACTCACACTTGCACACAAGCACACTCACTCACACGCGCACTCTCTCACACATTCGGTAATTACATGGGTAATTACATATATAATAAAAATAGTGTAAACAGAAACATGTTTGCACATAAAGAATGCACATGACACATACTTGTGCACACACAAAATATAACCATTTATATTTCTATATAAAGTATACATGAGTATACATACAGTTTATTAAAAAGTACCATATTATTTATATGTAGTGGGAAGGGCACATACAAAACTTGTGTTGACAAAGATTTAAGTAGTGTAATATAAGTTGCATCATATACCACTGGTGTGGTGGCCATTGTCTTGACTACAGGTATTATGGCAATCTCAGTTCATGTTTGAAAGAGAAAACTTTGAAAGAATAGCCATACAAACATTGTATAGACAGTGGCAAGTGCACAGTCAAACGTTTCCTTTACACTTTAAGGTAAAGTCTTACTCAGGTTTATTTAAGCTGATGCTGTTGTAAATTACCTCACTTTACTGCATGATACAGTTTATGACAGTTATAAGAGTCTGTGGTTTTTTATTTTTTTTTAGATAAAGATTTTTCTTCAGAGATTGAGAATGTTTGGATAATGCTAAGACGCTGTAGATACTCTTTCACTTACCAGTTTTCCATGCCAAGAACAATGAGCTGGGTCAATGCCTCTTGCCAAATATTTGGGCAGCAACTCTGCACATTCACTCATTTGAATGTTGAACTTTACTATTAATCCTGTGTACCCTACCAATGGCCTTGCCACGTGTACGTTGCTGCATACCTTACTGAAAAGCTGAAATTAAATTTGTATGAATATTTTGTCATGTGAATGTAACCTGAGAACCTTGCCAGCTTTGTTGCCCCTTCTTATTACCTCATTTTCTTTATAGTTGCACTAACAAAGCACTTAACACTTTCTCCTGATAATGGCCTTGCCATGTCTCGTTCTCAAAGGTTGGAGAGATGCTCGTGAGAAACAAGTCCAAATTTTCCAAAATTATTATTGGGGCAGGATATGTCTTTGGATATTCAAAATTTACTTTGGCATTTGTTACTTCCTGAATACTGAAGGTCTATTTTACCATCTGCAGTAGACTGTTTCTTCCTTTTCATCTTTGCCACAGACGGTGTTAATAGTCTTCCAGGCTTGGCACCTTCTTTTGATTGTTACTTGCTTTATCTTCACAAAATATACAGTTGTGACTAGAAACGAAAGTACTGTAATTAGAAGCTAGAAACATAGAGTTAATATAGTGCTGCCCATATGCTAAAAGCAATGATGAAGAATTTCTTGCGACACCTCTAAATTGCATTAATTTGAGTTATGAAATAAGCGAGTATTGTAGTTACACGGTGTCGAGTAAAATAAGAGGTTAATAATACTCAAATGGTGTAAGAACACATTAATATTGAGCCATGTATTATCGTTTGGTACCCATATTATTTATATGACAATATATTTTGTTGAGTCTTAAACTAAAATTTATATCGTATAAAGCCAGGACACTTGATGAAACAAAGACCTTCTTTATTGTTCAAACTGCATTGTCCCTCATACAGTCCTTCACCACCTCGTAGAATGTCCTGATTGACAGGATGATCAAAGGTCTAGCCTTCTCAATAGTCCATTGACTTACTTGTTCCTTGATAGAATCTTTGTTTAATCAGATAACTTTGACATTGCTTGTCTCATATCTTTTTGTTCTGTTGGCATCCTGAATGATATCTAGGAATATATTGACTGTTGGGTGCCACGGATGGTGCTACATAGTCTTCCAGGCTTGGTGCCACCTTTTGTTAATTGCTGTATTTGCAAACCTAAACAACTGCTCTGGTAGAGATTGTCCTCGGCTCAGAGCAATGTTTGATTAGGCTTATGCACAGCAATTGTAGTTGAACTTCATAAATTGCCAAGGTAGCTGTTTCCATGTATTGAGGCTTAGCCAGTTGAAATCTATCAGAATTCAAATTCTGGGTTTAAAAATGGGTTTTATCTAATTTTAAAACCAGGATTCTGATTATTATTAATGATAATAATAAGAAGTTGCAATTGTGTTCATTACAACTTTTATTCACAACACTAGTATAAATTAAATCATCTTACATCATTTGAGTTTTTATTCTACATTGTACAGGGGCCTCGTAGCCTGGTGGATAGCGCGCAGGGCTCGTAATTCTGTGGCGCGGGTTCGATTCCCGCACGAGGCAGAAACAAATGGGCAAAGTTTCTTTCACCCTGAATGCCCCTGTTACCTAGCAGTAAAATAGGTACCTGGGTGTTAGTCAGCTGTCACGGGCTGCTTCCTGGGTGTGGAGGCCTGGTCGAGGACCGGGCCGCGGGGACACTAAAAGCCCCGAAATCATCTCAAGATAACCTCAAGAAGATACTTATACTGTACAGCATTTAGGTCTGTAATATGTCACTTGTTTTCTCAGAACTTATGAGCTGTAATTGTTTTTTTTTTTTTTTTTTTTGTCTTTAGAGTGTTGACATAAATTCAGAGAAATTAAAATTGGTATGTGTGTTGTTTAGCCAAAGGATGAAAGTACTATACTTGGAAAGTAATTGAGATTGGAAAAAAAATTAAGTGTCAAGGATTGTAGTTAAAAATGTGTAGATGAGCTTTTAAGAGGGACTTAAATTTATTACAGGGAATAGTCTCCCCATTGAAATAATAAGGATTTGTTTTATAGAAGGTAACTTGATGGTATTAGATTGTCACTGATAATGTAAACAAAAAGTAAAACATTGAGGATTAATGGATGAATTCTTTGTTATAAATTCCAAGGTGAAAGGTAAGGGTTTGTGTGCATAGACTTGAACGATGGCTAAATATACACAGGTGCCACAATTGTGTGAGTTCACACAAGTGTGAATCCAGTTGCTGTGGGAGCACGGAGGGTGAGGAGGTATGGCAGGCGAGGCATTTCCTCCGAAGAGAGAATGGTAGCCACTCGCTCGTCTTGGTGCCATGTATTGAGTGAGGGCATTGTTATTTTACTGTAAGTCTGTATTTGAGGGACTTTCATTAAATGCTTAGGATTACTCATGTGTTTTGATACTTTGCTTCTGCCACCAAATCTAAACCTAGTCTAGATCAAATATTGTGACCTAGCAATTTTTATGTTCAAACCTGTGCTGAATTAATTAGTTTTTATAATGTAACGAATAAGTATTTTGCTTCCAGTTGCTCTTGTGTTTGGTAAAACTATATTACTCATGATATCATCTATATAAATATCTTCACAACCACAACAAATGTTGTCTGCAGGGTTTTGCTAAACAGATGCATTATTCAGGTTACTATTTGATTTATTCAGGATGTTAATATAACTTTCAAACATTGTTACAAGTTGTAAGTTGTATGCAGTGGCCGTCGTAAGATTCATATACAGTAGTATGTTATCGGTGGCAAGTAATCTGTCCTAAGGTACAGATTTGCTTCTTGGCTGATATGTGATGATTGTAATGCAAACGTATTTCTTGGCTCACTTGTGTAAATGTGTTAATAATAGACACTTAATAAAATTGGTATGTTAGAGCATCAGCATCTGTGTTTGATTTAGGAAATGTAATAATTAGTGGTAATACAATAATGTACTAAAGTATTGATCTATAAAGCTCTTTTTTTTTTTACACTTTATTTTGTGGAATCATCATATTAAATAAAAATACTGTACTAAAATACAACCCTTCGAGCTATCTGATGTGGTTTTTGTATGCAAGATGACTATGTGAAGTAAAAAGACTAGACGAGTGATACAAGCTTGTGTGTGAAGATAACAGCTCGTGAAGTTGCAAACACTGCAAGATACTGTAATCTAGTTGATGCATCCTGAACTGTCCTGGGATAAAAGTTCTATCGAGAACCAGTAGTTGCCCTTGACATATACTGTAATATAATCATATACAATACAGTATGTGTGTGTGCACAACATGATTGTACATATATACAATTTTGAAATGTATACCAATATTTTGCATTACTGTTGCCATGTCAAAAGCTGCCATATTTGTTTTGTGAAATGGTAGAGTGAACAGCAGCCATTAGGGAGGTAATGGTAATCTTGGTTACATAAGGTAACCTTGTGTTGTGAAGATTTTTGTCTTATCCAGGAAGTGGAGACTGTAGAAGGTAGGAAACCTGTCACACAGTACAGGCAGCACTTGGACTGTCATGAACCAAACTAGTGTAGTAATATAAGTCTTCCTCAGAGAGGATGTCTGTGATTTGAGATCACAGATTTCAAGGGTTATGGAAAAGCTGTAAGAGTTGAAAATAACGGACACAACGTAATAATGCGTTCCAAGATGAAATGAACAACCCAGTTTTTTATGCACTTCTTAATATGATTGAAATATCACTTGTAACATTATCAATCTGTTATAGAACCATTATTGGGTTTAAAGTAGCTTCAAAAATTATGTAAATAAAGAAAAATGTAAGAGTGAAATAAAGATATGATCTTTTCCTAAATTTGACTATCTTTCATACTGACGTTATTTTGTGACTTGTGTATCTTGATACATTGTATTGTATTGGCTCATATTTATTTAGTTATTTATTCATTGTTTTCCTTGTCTTCACAATATTTATAAAAAAAAGTTGGGACAGCTGCCTCCTTTTTCTTTTATCATGACATAGTTTGTTGATAAACAATGAAATCACAATACACATCTATGAAAAAATCTTTAGAGCAAGATAACAGGATTGAACCAATATCCTGGATCTCAATAGATGCGCACTTTTTGCATTTAATGGTCCTTGGGTTAAGGTGCACATCATGAGTGATCCAAAATGATGGGATGATCCTATTAACCTACTCCAAAGATTTTCATATGTTGATCTAATTTCGGATATTAGTCATTACTGTATTCATCTTGTCCCAGACATTATGATCTAATAATGTCAATACAATGACCTAAACAACTTATCTGAAAATTTATGGTTGTCGCCCAACAAATTTCATTTTTATGGTGCTACATAGCCTTCCCGGCTTGGTGCCGCCTTTGATAATTACTTACTTTTGGCAGCATATTATCCTATTCGGAGAAACTTACTACATTGCTGTAGCACTTGAATGAAGGTGAAGGAATAAACCAATATACATGTATATATTAAAAGCCAAATTTTCGGATGTAATCTACATCCTTTCGCAAGGTGATGTATACAATGTTCTGAACAATATTCTAGGAGCTCGAGCTTATATATCTGGCAGAGCTCCTCTTGTGACGTCCATCATTAGATGTTGTTCTGATTATGCTCCCCAGGGACTCAAGGGTTTTCGTTTTTTTTTTCGGATAAAGTTAAAAGTAAACTTTGCGTGGTCCAGTGTGCAATATCGCGCCTCGTATTGTTCCTATCTTACCCCTGTGAAGGGTCCCACGTGTGAAAGGCTTTTACCCCTTCTACTGTTATGAAACACCTTTCATTTAATATTTTTCTTGCCATACACACACTCTTGCTTTATTCAATTTGTGTATGCTCTTTGCTAGCAACTTTTTGTGTTCTCATTCCTTTGTAATTGTGGTTCTCACAATGCCTTCATACATGGCTCTGGAATTTTTCAACCCTTTACATAGATCCTGTGTCAGTTGAAATCCAATACTGATTCTAGTAATTATAAGGTTCCAATTCTGCTGAGCTCTTAGCCATATTGGTTTACTAAAAATGAGCTTGCTGTCATCGATGCTCAAAGTAGGTCATTCATGTCTGTCTCATTTCCCGTAAAGAGATTCCTTACTCTGATTTCTTCCCAGTCATTCATTTCGTCATTCACAATCATGAGCAAAGTCGATGGTTTGTCGTGACCCTCTGGTAAATTCATACCAGAGGAATTCATAACTGGGATTCATATTCCAGTTATGCCCTGCCAGGAAATCGAATCCGGGATACGCAATTCTGGATAGAAAACGAAGTGGACTAAAATTTAAAAAATTTACCCTAGGGGTATTGTTTTGGCATTTACAGCTTTGATGGGTATTCGGTTCCGTGGGTTTATAACCTGCTAGTCTTTCATGGGGTACCTTGTGAAAAGCTTTAGCAAAGTCCATGTAAACTACATCTACCGGAAGTCCTTTGTCTGAATAGCTGGTGACCGTTTTAAAGCGTTGATTTTTACAAGATTGTTCTCTGTGAGATGTTGGATGAGTCCCTCCCTCAGGATTCTCGAAGTGAGCTTGCAGATGTGATGATATCCAAACCTGTCTTCCTACAAAGAACGTCACTTTTCGATCGTATGCGTTACATAAGACCAAAAACTGTCATGTTAGAAAATGGAAGTGGCTCACGAAAGTGACGTACTGTCCCGTTTTCGGTTTTGGGTCCTCCGGTAGGTTGGGAGAGGACACTTTCCATTGACCGTTTGCTTCACGTTGAGAAATCTTAGGACGGGTTGGATGTCCAGCTGATGGATGGTAGTTTTCTGTCGAGCTCTTTGTGCCTTTCTTGAAGATTGATATATTGATGAAGATTAAGCCACCCAAAAGATGGCACGGGCATGAATAGCCCGTAAGTGGTGGCCCTTTTTGAGCCATTACCAGTATCAAGAGCTGATACTGGAGATCTGTGGAGGTGCGACTGCACCCTGCGTGACGGGAAATGTCTCCCGTCCCTTTCTTGAAAAATAGGGGTGACATTTGCATATGTCCAATCTAGGGAAACTATCCCTTGGTCCAGGGATTGTCTGAAAAGGAGTTTCAGTTGTATGCATAGTGCATCTGCCAGTTCCTTTACGACTTTGGATTGAATTCCATCAACACCTGGGGCTTTTAAGTCTTTTAGTTTGTCAACGCTCTTTTTTATTGTGTTGCATGTTATGGGTCCCTTAAGTCATTCTCTTCACCTCCTTCCAACATTTGGGTGGGTAATGGGATGTCATCCATTCTTATTATATACATGGAACAATGACGCAGTTAGTCAGCCCGTGACAGCTGACTAACTCCCAGATACCTATTTACTCTAGGTAACAGGGGCATAGGGTGAAAGAAACTCTGCCCAATGTTTCTCTCCGGCGCCCGGGATCGAACCCGGGACCACATGATCGTGTGTGTGTGTGGGGGGGGGGCAAATTAGTTAGTTAGTAATTAGTAACAGCTGTTACATTTTTGTAGTGATTGATTGAGAGTTGAGAGGCGGGGTGAAAGAGCCAGAGCTCAACCCTCACAAGCACAACTAGGTGAGTTAGGGGAGTACAAGCACAACTAGGTGAGTTAGGGGAGTACAAGCACAACTAGGTGAGTTAGGCGAGTACAAGCACAACTAGGTGAGTTAGGCGAGTACAAGCACAACTAGGTGAAGACATCAACTTCCCACAATGGAAGAGTCTCTGCTTCACCGTCAGAAAACGAGCATATCTACCTGTTGCCTTTCTTTATATTCTGATCCTTTCCATAGTATGTTTGATCTTGTTATTCTGCCAATACTAAACATAATAAATGTTTGTATAATGCAGCTAATTTAACGAAAATTGTTTAGTCAAAAGATATTTTGTGAAGAAAATCTGTGAAATATTAGGTATGATGACTTAGACCAAGCCGAGGTCATGAGTGAACCAGAGGTTACGAACACAAGTGGTAAACAACTTTCGCCAGAGCAGGAGACACCTGTGATCATGGCCGGTACCAAGCTGAATACTGTCGGGGTTCTCTTCATACTCGTTTCCCTTGGCCTGGGGGAAGACTGGTCGTTCGATAATGCTCCAGGGATCGCCATGGAGTACAAGATTCACATAGACGCGGGTAAAGAAGACTGTTATTATCAGTATGTGCATCCGGGCGCTACAATCTACATCAACGTACAGGTGAGATGACAGCTGTCACCCTCACACACCCACCTCATGTTCTCATATTCATAAATTACGGTATGGTTGGAGTTTTAATATACTATTTTGTAGTATTAGTGACTGTAGCCATTCTTTGGGAAAATAAAAGCTTGGCGATGTTTCGCACGTGTAAAAAAAAAAAAAAAAAAAAAAAAAAAAGGCCCCCCCCCCCGGCTAATGATTGACTTTTGCGAGAGGCAACATATATAAGAAAACTTGCATTAATGGCTTTGGCAGGTAGTTGATTCCATGGGATTATTACCCTATGGGTGAAAATGTATTTCTTTCCTTGAATTTTGTTAGTCTGTACTGAACTTTTTCTAAAGAAGTTATATCCTTTGCAAGGCAAGATGTCTATGGCTTTTATATAAGAGTTTAGAATGGGATGAAGGAGGATTTCTACAATTAATTACTACTATTCCTTAACATTAAAGATTCATTTATTTATTCTACTGCAGTGGTATGATGTTGATATGGTAGGCTAGGTGTGTATTGTAACGCCTTTAGTCTCATAATTCGACCAAACAAGAGTTAAGCAAATGCAAGTCACCAGTTACAATGCATATATTCTATATCTGTACAACCCCACAGAGGAAGTGAGAGAGTGCTAACTCCTGTGTTTACAGGCTCATAGGGTCCAGGTTGGTTGTCTCCCACCAGCTGCTCTGCCATTTTCCCTGATCTCTGCCATGTTATAGGGGGTAATGAAGTCACCACAAGCCATACATATAAGGCCTATACAAATTTCAATGTTAGAAAAACGTTTGCAAGGCCTTTTTATCATTTTTATTTTACCATAGTTTTGTGACTGCTGCAAATTGGATGTGATTCATGTTTGTCATCTATGTAGTTCATCGATGAATATTACAAAAAGAATTAGACCAAAGATTGAATTGACCAGTATAGAACTACATTCAATTTTGTTTATTTGGTTGAATTCTCCTCCATTTTGAACATCTTTTTGCTTTCTATAGCTTTCTGCATTCAAATATTTTACTGTAGATTCCATGTGCATGTAGTTTCTTGTTGCACTATTGTTACCATATAAAATGCTATGCAAATACCATGCATACTAAATTGACTTGTATTCCCTTTTCTGTGCAATTAATGTTTCTGAAAAGTTTTTTTCCTTTTTCACATTGGAATCTTTATTTTATATGGATATGTACCCAGCAATGCCCACATCTCTCTCCCAGTTGGAAAAATTATCATCATAACTTGGGGGGGGGGGGGTGGGAACAAGACCCATCATTTCAAATTTCATAATTGCTGGGATTTAGAATAGGAAACATTCCTTCTTAAAGAAGAATATTGGGGGATTAACCCTGACTTTCCCTATGACACTCCCCATACAGTTGCAATTCCCCATGCAAAGCTTCATGCACGAGGTGTCTAGCCTCCAACCTTGGACACGCATTCTATTTTACGGATATACAAAAGATTTTAATCTTCACTTTGGTGTCCAGTGTAGGGGAAGAAGCTTTCCATGTAAGCTATTGAACCATACCAATGTTGCACTTGCTATGTAACGTATTAGTTTTTAAGAAAAATTTTCATGTTTAAATCTGATACAGGTGTTGAAAGGTGGTGATGGAATGGCTGGTGTGGCTGTACGAAACCCCAAAGGTGAAATTGTCCACCCATACTCGTGGAAGAAATCGACAGAATACGAAGAGGTTTCTCAGGCTGGTGGATACTATGGCATCTGCATTGATAATCAATTCTCACGCTTTGCTGCAAAACTTATCAACTTTTACATGACAACATTCAGGTGAGATTCCATACATGAAAAATATTTGAGTACTGTACTCTAGTACTGTATTAAAAACTAGATGTTATTTGTTGTAAAATTTATGGAAGCAGTTTGCTTGTGTGTGAAGGGGCAAAGAGGATTGCATGGGATCCATTATTTTGTAAAGTAGCAACTAGATCATAAATGATCACAGGTCACACAGTGACAATTTTAAAGTGCAATTCGGGTTGACAGCTGTTGGAAGACGGAAATTGATGACCAGTTATTTGAGTTGATTGGATATCCCATAATTTTTTTTTTGTACTGCCACCAAAAGAGAAAAATATTCTATTGGAGAAAGATCTGACAGTAGGCACTTGGCAAATAAATTTTAATTTTTTTGTGGGAGGGGATACATGAATGTTCCTCTGAATTTACCAGACCACCATCTCTTAGTGGCCTCAACAGGGACAGGAAGCCAGTAATGTGTCTTGATATTTACAGCTTTGGTAGGTAGGCAAATCCATGGGTTTATTACTGTATAAGTGAAAAGGAATATGTTGTTTTCTGCCCTACATATGATTTTTTTAAACACGCACAGAAGAGTACTGGAACAGACAGCTTCCGATTCCTATTAGCTGGTATGGAGCTTTCCCTTCCCATAACTCATAGTAATCCTTCTCCATAAGTATTTTCTGGAACACAACTCAATCTCTGGACAGTTCTCTGATACTTTAGTTCCCTGATAAGCTCTTCCCACACTGCATGGAAAAAGTGATTTTCGGTAATTTTGAGTGACGATACGTTTGTTTGTTTACTGTTGAAGACTGACTCATTTTGATGACTCGTGACTCTGATGACTTTTGATGACTCGAATGACTCATTTTTTAGCGTCGTCATAACACTAAAATGTTAATATTGTCTGTTTTCTTGACTTCTCTTGCTCTTCAGTACCTAGATATAGTGCAAATTAATTTGCACTGTATTCTAATACCTTTTTGATTCTTTCTGGAAATGTTCCTTATATATTTTTTACAGGGGCTGAAACTTGATACTATACTGTACCTCTTGCTAGTTGTTCACATTGGATGTTATTCAAACCTTTATGAAAACTGGTGCTTCAGCTTTTTTTTTTTCCACTTTACTGTTAAATTTGTTATAATCGGCATCATAAAAATTTTAATTTAGCTGTTGGTATTATAAGTTTCATGTTGCCAGTAATATAAGCATTACTGACCAATTAAAAAATTATGCTTTATACTGCATTAAGGCACAATGAGATCCCTTATTTTATGGTACCTCCACAGGTATGACCTTTGGGAGAAATTTAATAAAGAGCTGGAAGATATGGACATCAGTGTTAACAACTTTACAGTAAGTTATCAATATACCTAGCCATTCATAATCTTCTACAGTTCTCTTGATGGTACAAGTTGAAGTTAAAAGTTGAACAATTATTATTACATACCATAGTTAACCCTAGCTTAAAAATACATACAAAATTGTTTCTTCATTTTCAGCACTCGATTAAGGGCGTTGATCAGCGCATACATGAAATGTTGCTCTTCCAAAGCCAATCTCGGGCAAAAGAGGCTCGGGACTTTCAGCTGCTGATCAGTAATAATCAGTATATTCAGTATTGGTCTCTGGCTCAGTGTATAGCAATTGTTGGGGCAGGGGCCATGCAAGTCTTCTTTTTAAGAAAGCTCTTTGATACACAGGTCACTACAAAGTCAGGTGGTAGAGCATAGTAATTGTCAAACTTGGAGTCGGGCAATTTAAAAAAATAGAAACAATGTTGTAATAATCTAAAGTACAGAAATTGGTTGATCTTGACACTTATGTGCAAGTTTTTATATTTTTAAAACATTATGAAGTACAGTTGACTGGCAATTTGTGGCAAGTTACATGTAGTGAACCTCCAACTTCACATTTTTGTGCTTTTATTTGCTACTGTGTTAGATATATAATTTCATCAGTATTCTTAATTTGTATGCGATATTAAGGTAAATTATTGTGTAAATTGGATGAGTTTTTGAAGACATCATTGTAGCTAAACACATTTTGTTTGACTTAAGGAAAACTGTACAGTGCTAATTTCCATTCATAAATTTTAATGTCTTATGTCAAGAAAATTTTTAAATTTTATAGGCTTACTTGAATTAAAATGACATTTATGGGTGCTGGTGGCTGAATCTCAAAACTTTTATTGCACATGTATAATCATGTTGTCTCAACTTTTTAATTATAATTTAGAACTAAGAATGTTTTTGGTCCCAATGTATGTAAGCATTACAGGGGCTCTGTAATTTATTTTTTATTTTTATAACTCTGACATTCCATATTTGTGTTATTTCCTTACATTCCTTTATATTTTATTTGAAAAGATCTGACTTTTATAGGTTAATCTATTAACATCATCATTTTAGTTCTTGTATTATAGCATCACCACTGACCTCTTCCTTTCTTGAGGTGGGAAGGAAGTTAACAGGAAGGATGGAAAAGTGTAATGGTGCCTAACCTGCCATCACTAGTTGCATCATGGGGTAACAAGTGCCACTTTGCTAGACAATAATATTGTGAGGGGGAAACTGTGACAAGGTTGTTAAACACCCCCTCCCCCCTGCTGCACACTGATAGTAAGCTTCTCTTTGCCCCCAACCCCTACATATCCCAAACCATTTACGACTCTAGATGAGGAGGGATGACTGGGCACCAGTCCTTAACTGTTCATCCCCCCCCCCCCCTCTACAGTAATTGCTGAGGAAGGTGGGGGTACCTGGTTGTAAACTAATTGGGAGGAAGTGTTCCATTGAAAATTAGTGGGGCAAGACGTGCCAGGGCATAAAGTTAACAAGGACATGCTGCCAGCAATGATGTGTGCCAGTGTCAATGGTGCAACATTGGTACACACAGTTGCACATGTGTGCAATTGTTGGCAAATGCAAGAAATAAAGAGCCTTGCAACATTGCTTGAATAATCTGCGTGTGAAATATTATAGCTCAAGGAACACGTGGTTTACACAGATCTTTCTTTTTCATTTTCATGATGTGTTTTGCTAGGAAGTTCATGACCATCACATTATGAAACAGTGAGGCCAAGCGAATTCGGGTTTTGATGTTGATAATGCATGTGCCCACCCCTGTTTTGAGACCTTAAACCTCACATGATGACAAGATAACATGTATGGCACACCTTTATAATACTACCTCTCTAGTCCAGCTGTGAATTGGGTAGTTATCGGTGCCACAAAGAGGTTGTACACCAAAAAGATGCTCAATGAAGTTTTAGTGGTTTTACCTGTTGAGGAAGATGTGGAATGTGGCGTGAATGTCAAGGCTAGGAAAAACTCTTGAAAATTTGAAAAATTATTTGATCAAGAAAGCAATTTATAACTGGGCCAAAGTGCAGAGTAAAGGAAATGACTTTGAAGAATTCCTGAAAGAAAACGCTCGTAACTACAGTCATTGAAGAGGAGGAAGACATGAATTTTGAAGGATTTACAGATGAAATTCATGGAATGTTCTGAAATGCTGGTGAAAATTTAGGCAGGATGTGTTTGAATGGCTACAAAGAGATGTTGATAACCCAGGATATGGTGTGATTGAAGAAGAGATTCTTCAGTCCATTACTGGTGAGGTTGACAGGAGGAGGATGAATATGGCAATGAGGAATCAACACTACAGATGCAGACGACGAGTCACAATAACGTGGCTGAAATATGTTGACCAAACCACTTACAAGAAAGTGAAGGGACGACGACGTTTCGGTTCGTCCTGGACCAGTCTCGAGTAGATTCTCACAATAGACTTGAGAATGGTCCAGGATGGACCGAAATGTCATTGTCCCTTCATTTTCTAGTGTGGTTTGGTCAACACTACAGACAACCAGATAAAATTTTCTCATTTCATCTCTTCCGTTGATATGTTAATTAATTTTTCGTCCAACTGTGCTAATCCAGAAGTTGGAAACATCAGTACTTGAGGCATGGACCAATGAACATAGGTGGCAAGCAAAAGACTTGTTATTTGGTAAGAATAGCAAGCAGAGGCCCTTCAACAAGTGAAACCTCACAAGCAATCCAAGGACCTTCAACCAGTTAAGGCTCGCCAGAAAGTCAAGAGCCTTCAACCAGTAATGCCTCGGCAGCTGGCAAACAAACCAAACCTTGTCAAGCTTGTGCAATGAACAGTAATTTTAGTGTTGTGTTAGGTAACGTAAATTTTGTAAGAACTGCAGATTTGAAGATCTACAGTATCATTCGAGAAGAACTACAACAAGGTAAGCTGTAGTTTGTTTTAAATAGTACTGTATATATTTCTGTACTGGTATATTTTTTTAATTGTCGGGGAACAGGCAGTCGGTTTATATATGTGTTAGGCTTTTATCGAGGGTCCCCTTCCCCACACCATTTTGCAGATGGACATGAAGCCGTGTCATTTGCTAAAGCTTGACCACACTTGACTTTGAAGTAGCCATAGATAGCATGCCCATGCACTCTGCACCAGGCCCAGACTTCTGAAATGCTGTATTTATCAAGAAATACAAAAAACCATTATCACAGGCCATAAAATTTTTTTAGAGATTGAGCCTAGATACTGGCATTATCCCTGTCATACTTAAAACAGCAGAGATCATACCACTTCACAGGATGAAGCAAACACAGTTTACACAGGATGTAAAGCTGATGTAAAAAAATATGGCCCAATAGTTCTAACACTGCATATCATAAAATTCTTTGAAAGAGTGCTAAGAAGTAAGATCACGAAACATGCGTAATTATAGTGTCTACATAACCCTAGGCAACATGATTCTGAACAGGGTGCTCCTACCTCATAAGTGTTAGACCACTATGACATAACCTTAGATGCCAAGGAAGACAAGCAAAACGCTGTAATATATACAGATTTTGCAAGAGGTTTTGACAAATATGACAATGATGGTGTTACATACAAATGCACACAAAAGGAATTACTGGCAAAGAAGGGAGATGGCTCCTTAACTTCCTAACAAATAGAACCCAGAATGTAATAGTCAACAAAGTAAAATATGAATCATGCACTGTTAAAAGCTCAGTTCCTGAAAGTACCATGCTTGCTCCGCTACTTTTCCTCGTCCTCATATCAGATATAGACAAGGATATAAAATTTATAGTACTGTATCATCCTTTGCAGATGACACTAAAAATTTTCATGAGAATAGACAATATAGAGGACACGGCACACTTCCAATCTGGTGTTAATAAAGTCTTTTAATGGGCCACAGAAAATAACATTTAATGAGGATAAGTTCCAGTTACTGCATTATGAAAAAAACAAACATCAAAGCAGAAACCACTTGTATAAGTCAGACCACACTATTGAAAGAAAATGTGATGTGAAAGATTTAGATGTAATCTTGTTGGAAGACCTTACGTTTAAAGAACACAGCAAAGGTTGTCACAACTGCAAGAAAATGACAGGTTGGATAAAAAGAACTTACCAAACAAAAAAAATGCCATGACAAAGATGATACTTTTTAAGATGGTGCTCGCTAGAGTGGAATATTATTGCACACTAAAAGCCCCATTTAAAGCTGGAGAAATTGCTGACCTGGAATGCGTGCAAAGATCTTTTACCACTAGAATCCACTTGCTAAAACTTCTCAATTATTGGGACTGCCTAAAGGCTTTAAATCTGTATTCCCTAGAGTGCAGATGGGAGATGCATAATAATTTACATTTGGAAAATATTAGAATGGCTGGTTCCAAATCTGCACATAGAAATAACACCGTGAGACCAGAAGGCATGTCAAGATGAGCAAAATAGCTCGGGTGGAAAGCAGAGGTGCAATAGGCAAGTTGAGGGAGAACCCGATGTTCATCAAATGCCTAAACTTTTCTACACTCTTCCCCCTACACATGAGGAAGAACTTGCCGACCTCTTGTAGTGTTCAGAAGAGAACTCTACAAGACCCTTCAAAGGATACCTGCTCAACAGACTGTGTTGATCACACATCCTTTGCAGTACATCAGGCTGCACGTAGCCACATAGAGCAACCTGGTTGATCAGACCAGCAACCAGGAGGCCTAGTCCGAGACCAGGTCGCGGGTAAGTTGATCCTCTGAATCAACGACAGTCAATAGGTAGACACAAAAATTAGCGTGAAAATTACTTCTGTAGAAGACATTGAAAACTATAAGCTAAGCAATACTAAAGTTTTCGATTGGGCAGCAGAAAATAACATAATGTTGGAGAGTGATACATTCTGGGTACACAGTTCTTAGATATGGTAAAAATTAAGATCTTAAACCCATTTAGTCTAGCATTACCTACCTACCCATTCTCATGCACTAAACAATCTCTGTTGCATTACTTCTAGGAATTTTGTTCATGTTATAACATACCTGTGTTCTACACTGTATTTGAACAACCACTCATGCCTAACAAGGACTTGAAATGCATCAGTAAATATTCTTTCTTTACTCGCTCCACACCGAACCTCACTTGGTGCTACATCAGTTGCACATCCTTGAACACCTTACAGTATTTTACAGTTTTTATAGTATATTTATAGTACTGTACAGTACTATATAGTATGGTAAGTTTTATTACAATATACTTCATTTATTTCACTCCAATATTTGCACAACTCAATCCATGTGTGTATTAACCAACTTTTGTGATATTACACAATCTCTCTAGTAATATTTTTACATTGATGTACTTTTGTAAAACTAATGTTTTCCGTGAAGTCAGAGTACAATGCGTGTTGTGCCAAAATCTTAATGTTTTCTTGGCTCTCACTGATAGAATGTGGTCAACCCAAGCAACAATAATTTCTGATAATCTAACTTCACCCGGGTGCCTGGGGAAAATGTCCATCCAGTAATGTTCAGCCAGGCTCTTTGGCCATTAAGTCAACACACTCGCCTGTATAAGCGTGTTCAACATAAATAAGGTATGTTTTGTACATCAAGGCATGTTATGGAATAAGTAATTTTATATATACAGTGTTGTATAATTATACAGTAAATTTTTTATTTTTTTATAGTGTAAATGTTTTCTTACTGAAGATTTGGTCATCATGTGAGTATGTATTATGATGATAAATGTGAAGAGCATTATTTTCTGTGATAAGAAATGTGAAATGAAGACAAATCCATGTTGAAGAAAGAAGTTGTATTAATATTTGGTTTTACAGTACAGTATTTTAAAGCGATCGTGTTTCTTTATTGATTGTACTTATTGCATTTGATATTTGGTCTTGGGTTGGAACACGCATTGATTGGCATAGTTAATTTAACTTTACAGTAATTTGTTAAAAAATGTTTTTGTTTAGTATGAACATAAGACACTTCACTCTTACTTGACATAGTAAATTTCTTTTTCAAACCATTACAAGCCTCTGTGACAACCAAGCTGAGAATAAGGGCAGCATTAAGAGTTGAGTATTAAAGCATGTAGGATGTAGGGATGTCATAAAAAAATACAGTATATATATGTAAACATTTTTAGTTAAATTAACCGCCAAAAGCGGTACTGTAATGAAGCTAAAAATAGTATGCCATGTTTAGTTTGTGCAGTTATTTAATGGACAAATGTTTGACGTCCAGAACAGTAGGTGAAATACTTTGTAGAATATACAAATTTACATGTCAAATTTGGCGTAAGTTTAAAAATGTCAAAATACAGTACAGTTCTACATGGAAGTACTAGAAGGGGTACTTGGCAGTGTCCTTGATAGTCTGTCTCTTCCTCTCCACCCTACATTCCCCTTCCTTTTCTCTCCCTGCCCCTCCCCTTCCATTTTCCCCTACTCTCCATCCACCTAATCTTCATTTTCGGGTGAAGAAATTTAGGGACTCTGCCAGCCACCTTTCACTGGTTTGTGGGAAAGGTCACTATCAGGCTTTAAAGTCCGTGTCCATCCTGTACCTCGGACTGTTCGCTTAACAAAGTTAGGCTAGACTAGACCCAAGTACCTAGCCTTCAATATTGGACAGACATATTCTCTTTTTATAGATGTAGGACTTTTCTAATGCCTCTTCGTTCATTTGTTGTCATTCACATAAAGACACTGTGTTGTACTTAATTTTACATGTGAATAGAAGCATTACTGTAGCATTTATACATTTAGCACTCTTTCCCATACTCCAATACAGAATATGACTCGACACTTAAACAATGGAACACATTACAATCAACACAATAACAAGACTTCTGGAAAATCATTAATATATTTGTGGTGTATAGTAAACGAAGGAATAAAAAGTATGATAATTTCCGGGGGGGTTTCCCTACAGCTACCTGGAGCTATCTGGGCTGATATGCATGTATTTAGACCATGGCATCAGTCAAAGCGAATGGAGTTCTTTGACCTACTAGGGACAATGAGCCAAAACCTGGCCCCTCTCAGAGAGGAACAAGGTGGAGGGCCTTGATAGCTCCGGGAAGCCACTGGGTCTCGCCCAGGAAATGGCGTTTCATTACATTCAATGCTGTTTTTTTGTAGTTTACAAATTTTGTAGATTGTCTTGATGCTTATTTTTTATTTTTATTTATGTAACTGCAGTGTGACAATGGTGTAAATATTCCTTGAGTGAAAGATATCTGTTATGCTACAAGGATGACACTTAGTGAAATACTTGTACAGTATTTTACAGAACCAGGTGAGAGTTAAAACTCAAAAGCCACTAGTGTGAATGAACGTGGTAGAGGTGCATCACAAGCGTGCTCTTGGCATCTTATACACCTTTGATAGGAGTGGTCAGCCATGCTGTGAGGTGAGCGTGAACAATTTGTATCTGCAATATTTAGTGTTCTTCCGTCTCTAGCCCAAATTTCTGTAGCAGTACTATATAAAAAAAAAATTCTAGGAGAGTACTGTAGTACTATTAGAATTTGATATTGTATTTATAACAAAAGATATGTAGGGCAAGACTAATAATAAAGTACAATCATCAGTATAGTAAGCATATGTTCATTGGAATTTTCAATCTAACCCTTGGAATGCTCAGTTTTCCAGCTCTGGGTACTTTTACTGTACAGGTATTTGAAAAATGATTAGTTTTCTTTGCAAATGAGTTACATTAGAATTAGTTTTTAATATATACTTCATTTGATATACAAAATTTAAGATTATTTTAATTTATCTATTTCCTGAAATTTAGATGAAGTTACATCTTTATTTTGCAATAAATTTTTTTTGTTGGATTTTTATTTAAAAAAAATGAGCAAATGAACTCCAAAATTGGTGTATTTTTCAGTATGGTGGTGTTGCATGCTTTCAGTCATCTAAAAGGATCAAGACTGTACAGTAATTTACTAATAGATTTAATTTTTTAAATATGTTGGCTGTGAGAAAATATATCTTTAATTTAATCAGTGTTATGCAATGTGCATCATCATTTGGGATGCTCTGCAGGGATGATCAAGTTAAGCTTTTCTGCATAAAATTGTTTCAAGTTAGCTTATGCTTCATTATTATAGTCAAGCACTAGAGCTGTGCATTGTAGGTCTCCAAGCTGTTAAGACTTGAAATGACTTCCACGTTGCTGCCACGTGCAAGTTTGTCAAAAAGTCAAGTGTTGCAAATTAAGTTGTTTTAATTTTTTATTATTGTTGTCTTTGCAAATAAATAAATAAATAAATAGTTCCTCTTTATTTCACATAGTCAACACATATCCACTTCTAAATACTTCCTAGGTTCAAAGATGGTCAGAGTAGGCTTCAGTGGCTATTTTCATATTCTATACAAACCTGTATAAAGACTAACAGCTTGAAATGTCCGACAAAAAAATTTACGTTTTAATCTACACTGATGATACTGAGGAAAGAAGAGCTGCACTGATGCTGGAAACTATACAATGAAGTAGGACTCTTCTATTGAAAAGGTGGGGAGCACCACTTGGGGGAAGACATCCTTTCCTGCACAGGCCAGTGTTTTGTCCCCAGTTGTGGAAACTGTAAATGCTTTACCCCTGCACTACGAACAATTGCCAATGGAACAAACACCTAACCTAAATATGCACAACACCCTAATGTATATTTATATAAGAAAATCACTGCAAATGAATAGCATGTTAACACTTTCGCGCTTTAGATTAGAGATAACTCGTCGCCGTTTTCTCTTACGATTCCGCATAACAGCCGAGTTTTCTCGTCCATCGAAAAAATATTTCTATAAATTCCATTTTTTAACCGAAATGGATGGGGATACTTTTGTTTTGTAGGCAATTTATTTGCGAATGTTTTGGTACCAGAATGAATATTATATCACATAAACTTCTATGAGTAAAAAAAAAAATACACAAAGTATGTTTGGGGGTGTGGCGAGCGTGTGGCAGTGGGTTCCCTTTAGCCGTTGATATATCCAACACGTGGGAAATATTTGTATGTGTTATGTATATGTCTGTGTAGGGAATTTTACTGCGATCACTGTCATACAAATTATAAAATGTTTCAACAAGTATAAACATGACAAACATCAAACGAACGAAAACAATGCGTTCATTTCTGCCGCGAACGCATACTGAGCGACGTGGTTCTATATTTGGCGCTTCTCTTACACATGCTTTGTACAAATGTTATACAGTTCATCTTATAGAAAATTTTATTGTGAACACATTGGTATAAAAAGAAATACGTACATAGAAAAGTAGGGTCAGGAAGCGTATAAACTTTCCAAGCATGATTTCCCCCCTGTGTTTTCGCCAGTGCGCTCGCGGCTAACTACTCTCCACTTCACACACTCTTGCGGGTGGGCAATTACCTATATTAAACATTCATATGCATATGTCCGTGTAGAGAATTTTATTGCGATTCCAATGATACCAAAATTAGCGATGTAGGACAACTGTAGGCTTCGCAACCATTAAGAGAGTGGAAACATTTTGTTGCTGTTTGGCGCTCTCGGCGAGTGATCTGCATAGTTTTTTATTTGGTGTTGATACTCCTTATGCTTGGGCGGCATTTTATAGGTATGCTCTTATAGACAATTTCATTGTGAACACAGTGGTACCAAATTTAAATACGTGCGCCTTCAATTATTGTCACGACAGTCAAAAGAGTGTACACTTTTCGGTCTTACCGCGTAGGCGCGCGAAGTGCCGAAAGCATCTGGGGTATTGTTTTTTTTTGAGCGCCGAGAGCGCGAAAGTGTTAAAATATGTATATGCACCTTTGGGGTCTATGTTCATTTCATGCTGCTGCATGGAGTGAACATAGTCTGAGGACAGGTTGAGTAAAAATATTTTAAGTGCTTCCCATGCCTGTCATTAACAGTTACCTGATCTGGCTGATTTTAATGGCCCAGTCTTTTCCCTAATCTGTTTTATAACAAACCCTCTAGGATTTGCCTACCTTGCCATATGTACGTCATAGAGCGAGAGATTTTTGGCTATACAGTACTGGAATTGCCAAAAGGCACCAAGCTGGGAAGACTAAAGTTACCTTTTGAATATCCTGTTTCAGAGGGGTCACAGATGCTTAACATTCAAGATGGAAATACAGGAACAAAAGGAGAGAAAGGCATCAAATTCACAAAGGAGTATTGAAGAAATAAGAGGGACATTAGGAACATCTTTAAAAATACTAAGTCATACTGCAGGGTATCTATAATGCTTAGTGTTTTATTTGTCAAAACATTCAAATACAATACATACTTTCCTCGTATCACTTTACATTAAATCAACTAATCACTGCACCAGTATAAACTTTGTCAAGTGTTTAATTTGGCTTAGTTTTTCAGACACGATGGGTACAAGGGAACTACAGCATTTGCCTGATTTCATTCACTACTATGGAATTACAGTGCACAAGATATTCCATAAAACCTGATTAAGCAAAGAAAGCATGGGTAGCTTCCATTAGCATCCTAATACAAGTGATAATGTTTACATAGCTAGTTTCTTAAATTAGTCATCATTAGCCATGTCTTTTCAGCAAAGATCAAATATAATACCAGGTAACCATTGGTGACACTACCTGTACCAACATTGTCTAACTAGGCTGAGGGGCTTTGACCTTATTTCCATAATTTGCTTGTCTTGGCATATATAAGAGATCATAAATATGTATATTAAATTAAGATTAAATTAGAAGATTTAAATTAAGAAGATTAAATTTTATGTAAGAGAATTTAAACAATTACAACTTATCTTGAATTGGACACTCATCTCTAAAGTATTAGGAACTTTGAACAGAAGAATGCACGACGCTTCAAAACATCTAAGCACTTTAGGAAGGGCATCCCTAGACCAAAGAAACAAAAATTCAATCTTGTTCTGTAAATGTAAATATACAATAGCCTAATCTCTAGCATTTATGATCTGGACAAAGTCTGGCTTGAGAGATGCCCCACCCACTAGGAACCCATCAATATCTCCTGTTTTGGCCAATTCTTTGCAGTTTCCAGGAGTGACTGACCCTCCATAGATGATGCGGGTAGAGTCGGCAACCTCTGCATTAACATTATCGCGAAGCCACTGACGCAGCTTAGCATGGACTTCCTGGGCCTAGAAAAAAAAAAAAAAAATACATTTGTCATACAAAATGGTTTAAAATCTTGTGAACACTTTCATTTCAGAATTTTGGAGCCTTGAAGACATCGGCCAATATCCTTGAAATAAACATTTTAAGCTTTTGTAAATTATAAAAAGCTTATAAATGGAGAGGAATTAAGAAATATATTTGGAAGGTGTCAGTACATACAAAATCAATTGCAAATAAAAGCTACATATATTTGCAACTGCAGCACAAAGTAACAGCCAATATTAGAAACTAGGTGTAGCTTATTACAAAATAGTAGAACATGAGGGAGGAAATTATTGCCAAGTCTCAAAACTGGCTAAAATTTATAATATGAATATAGTAATTCATTGTGGCATTGACGACCGTGCTTCAGTTTACCAGTGTCACCCCACCTAGTGACGATCACTTGAATATTACATTTGGGAGGACGACTGGATATATGGATGGGGGTAGGGGGGACTGGATGGATATATGGATGGGGGTAGGGGGGACTGGATGGATATATGGATGGGGGTAGGGGGGACTGGATGGATATATGGATGGGGGTAGGGGGGACTGGATGGATATATGGATGGGGGTAGGGGGGACTGGATGGATATATGGATGGGGGTAGGGGGAGACTGGATGGATGGATGGTGGGGGGGGGGGGGAGACTGGATGGATGGTGGGGGCAGGACTGGATGGATGGATGGATGGTGGGGGCAGGACTGGATGGATGGATGGATGGTGGGGGGGGGGGAGACTGGATGGATGGATGGATGGTGGGGGCAGGACTGGATGGATGGTGGCATATGCCAGCAAGAGTCCTCAGTAAAAGTAAAGTGCAGTTAAATGTTCAGATTTTATTTATGGTTTATATTTATACCCAATTGATGAATTTGACTGATGACTTTGGGGGCCGACCACTGAGGACAGGCAACCAGTGTAGGTAAACTTGTTAGGCTTACAGCGAGATATCCCTCTTAGGTCGAAGAGACCCTCCCCAGGCTGCAACCCCCCCCCCCATGCTAATTCCTGGTTACTTTTTTTACTGCTAGGTGAACAGATGCATTAAGTGATAGAAATGGTTGGGTGTGCTTCCTGTCCCACCCAGGATTCAAATTAAGAAGTCCCAATTGAGTCTAGAATGAACCTGACTATACTGCCAAGACCCTCTAAATGTACAGGTACCAATACTAAATTTAATAAAACTGCAAATGGAGGCAACAAATTTCAAATAATATACTGTGATGTGTTTGGTAGAGAAGGCACTTTCTAGCCTACTTTGGCCTTTGATGCACTAAACTGAAGTTGACAAGTCTTATTCAATATGTGGTTACTCTCCATTTGGAACCGCTACTGATAAATGCTATGTTTTTATTAACCTCAAACGTGTATTCCTCAAGCTTTTAAAATTATTAATATCAACAAAATACAGTACAGTACTGACTTGTTCTGGAGTAGCAGTCTTGCCAGTGCCAATGGCCCACACAGGCTCATAGGCAATGACAACACGAGACCAGTCAGAGATGTTAGGCACTAGGGCCTTCATCTGGGCAAAAACGACCTCCTCTGTGCGGTTGCTCTCACGCTCCTCAAGTTTCTCGCCAATGCATGGTATCACCTGGATAATATAAAAACGAAGTTTCCATATACAAAATTATAACTAACCTAATATTCTGAAAGAATTTGAGACTGTAGTTTATGTTTATCATCATTTTAAATGTTATATTAAATTGATGTCTTATTATTTAAAAGATTTTCATTCAAGCATACTTTAATTATTTTCTAAAAAAATGTAGACATGTAGGTATGGTAAATAAACTAATTTTTATAGTATTACAAACCTCTTTCTATACTGATCAGTTAGTCGATTGCTCCCACAATCAAAGTGGGCAACAGGGTAATAATGTCAAATGGAGCTTTATAAAAAAATGCATTTTTTTTTACGTACACCTAGTTTGGAATTTTAATTTAATTTAAACGGCTGAATGTAATATTAGTGAAAATGGGAAATACTGTACAGTCAGTTGAAGATGTATACTAATGCTTACAAGGGGCTGCATTTGTAACATTTTCCATAATCTGGAATTAAAAAGTTTTTTTGGGAAATAAAAAGTCGAGAGCAAAAGTACAATACCTATTTTGTAGCCTCACCTTCAGCCCAGCCTCGAGTGCATGACCCACTTTCTCACTGATGAGAGTGTCAGGTTCATTGAAGACGTTCCTGCGCTCAGAGTGTCCAAGTATAACCCATTCACAGCCACAATCCTTGATCATTGATGGGGAGATCTCTCCTGTGAAGGCTCCCTTTGCAACCTTCAATAAAGAGTACAGTACAGTATCAACATCTGAATTACACAAGATTTATACATGCGCAAATTCTGTAGTTGTAAATATAATTTATATCACTACTGTGATTTCTTATTTTCAGAAGATGGAAGACATTTACTTTAGGACACTAGCACCCCAGACCATGATGGTCATCATTTATACAGAAGAACAAACATTGTTAACCCTTTGTGTGTTTTAATTAGTATTTTTGCCATATAGTGTCAGTCTGGTATGTTCAGTCTAGCTTGCATGCTGAGGCCTTCATTTATCTGAGTGTGTTTATACCATGCACACTTTGATTATTTACATAATCTGAACAAGGAGAGAAGTAAATGGGACGAGTATCCTCTTGCATCATAGTTCATGTCACTTTCGGTGCAGCTAGACTTTCCATCAGAAGAGATTACACTAGGTCTAATCTCCCTATACAAGTCTTAAAACTTCAAGCTGACACACAATGGTGGTCTCCAGATATTATGCAAGAAAGAAATAGTAAAGGTATCCCTAACAAGGATAATTTCTGGCAATACCTTATAGCAGTTCTGAGCAGCAACGCCAATATTAGAGGGGAGGTGTTCCCGTGTGTACATGAGGTAGCACTGTGGGCAGCCAACCACCACCTCTGGAATATAGAAAAGGTACAATTTTAACTGGATTTAGTGAGGGTAGGAAGGGGAATTATGAGGAGAAAGTGCCAAGCCATTACAACTATATATAGCACTTAGAAGGGGGTCAGGATAAGGATTTGGGATGGGACGGTGGAAAGGAATGCTGCCCAACCTTCTTTGACTAGTGAGGGTAGGAGAGGTTACACACTATCAAGATATAGAATATCAAATGAAAGCTAGGAATGTCAGTTAAAAAAGTTAAGAACAAGAAATTTTGTAACAGTTGAAGGAACTAAACACCTGGCCCAGGTTGTAAGCAAGTTTTGTAAGCAACTTAAAAATTAGGTGTTCTTTTAAGAAAAGGGTTTAGCCTGTGTCCTTAACTGTCCAAGGCTTTTATTTGTTAGCATCCTTAAGTTTTAAGTTTTTCCAATATTCATTTAATCAAACCCTATACTGTATACATCAGAACAAATCTGGTGACCTTTGACAAGCTTCCAATTTCCTGTCCTCGTCGAGGCCACCAAGTGTTAGTAGCCCTCTGATAAATTCAGGCAAATACAATATTCTACAATGTCACCCCCTCCATACCAAAGAACTCCTACAGTAATTAATAAAACACAGCTGGAGGCAACTGGCAATGTTTAATTCATTGCAAACGTGTCTCATCCGCCGTGTTTTATAAAAAAGCTACACAAGACACATTACAGTCCCATCCAGGATGAAAAAATAACCGGATACAAGCACTCGCAGGAGTAACAAGATAACGCCGCTCCATGCGCATCCTTATCTCTCCTTGCGACAGGATGCAGGTCATGACAAGTGTATGACAGTGACAAGATATCACACGCACCATTTTCACCATCAACTAACTCCCTAACATATGATTGTCTGCAGGTCAGACCCTCAACTGGCCATAAGCCACTGTAGTGAAGGTCAGCTGACACCTCCCATGGCAAGGTGCCAGTAGTGGCCGCCAGGGTCACCTTCTACAGTGTCAAGGTCATTATTGATCCATTAAGATTAAGCCACCATGAAGGTGCTACAGGCACAAATAATCCATAAGTGGAACCTCTTTTTGAGCCACTACCACGACCAGCAGCTCATACTCTACCTCCCTCCTGGAGGTAGAGCATATATTTTTTTTAGGGGAGGGAGGGGGGAGGGGGGGCTGTCTGGGAGGACTAACTATACCAACTACAGCACTGCTGAGTTAGTGAAGGACTCTTAGGTCTTCCGTTTTTGTTAGCGAGTCTTGGCGTGTTGAGAGGTGTGACCTCCGGAGCCTCTCAAGGTCACCTCACACCCAAGGTCATACAGGGCCAGCCACCGGCGCTCACACGTCTAGCTGCACCAGTAAGTCTTACCTGGTGTGTGTGGCTAGACCCGTCACCAGGGGAGGGGGTGGACCTTGAGGTGACCTTCACCGGTACAGGTCACGGTGGCAGCCACCTGCCCGTCACCCCTGTGACCTTCACAAGGTCGCCCTCACCCGGCCTCTGCCCTCCCCCGTCACACATACCACCACCAGTACCACACACAGGGGCCAGGTGGGCGCCCCGGGACACAGGACAAGAGGGACAAGATACGTGACCTGTGGAGGACACAGTAACACGGGTCCCCGGTACTCACCGGTGTCGGCGCTCAGAGGACCCTTCATGAAGCTGATGATGGAGTCAATACCCGCCCTGTCCCCGTTCATCTTCCAGTTGCCACCCACGAAGAATTTCCTTTGGTTAGCCATAACGATGAGCGAGAGTGAGAGAGCGAGTGAGGGCTGAGGTGCGAGCAGCAGTGGTGAGTGAGGCGGTGTGAGGCGGCGCCTCAGCCCGGCCCTCACGGGGACTCCCTCACTCACGCTCATGTGCCAACTCTCACCCGTTTACACTTCTCACTCACTCTTATCACCTCACACTACACCCTCTTCCACACATACTGATTATAAAATATACTAAATTTGTAAAACAAACTTGTCAATTATAAAAATGTAGGGTGATGCGAGTTCCAAGTTATTGTCAGGATAAATCTGGCAGGCTGCTGCGCTCTGACGTCATGATACGTCATCAAGTAGGCCCGCTCCCCGCCGGTGTTGCCATGGCTCCCGCTACTAAATATTTCCACCAATTGAAATCCTCACATTAGGCAAAATTGTACTTAATTTTGTCAAAAAGATGTTAATAATATAATAACCAAATGTTTATTAATGCATTGAAGACCACACACTAGAAAGTGAAGGGACGAGGACGTTTCGGTCCGTCTTGGAAGATTATTGATGTGTATTTGTGGGTGATTAGATATGTATGTGTATGTATATATGTATACATTCAATTTCTTTCTGTAGAGCCCCGGATCTGGGGCTCTACCTACACCCATGTGAACAATAAACAGCTATGAGTCTGTGAGTAAAGGATATTTAAACAATATCTTATGAAATATAGTTTATTTTAATTATATTATAATAGGCCTATAATATACAGTATTGTATACTGTATACACCATATACATATACTACATATACATTTATTATACTTTTCAAGTTAATTGACTCGAAACGTTACAAAATATAAAATAATAATTTAAAATATTATTATTCATCTTTATTCACAGTGAAAAATCTAAGCATGAATGTAAAGTATTTTCTTGAATTCATTCAAATTGATCTTCTAACAAAGACACAATGTACAAGAATTAAAATGAGACAAGTAAAACACATTTGTGGTTAATGGAATGTGACTAAGTCAGTGTAATCTTTAGATTATTTGAATGAAATGTTAATTTTTCTCAAGAAAAAAATATTTGCCAGCACAAAAAAATATACACGACAAAATATATTGCACCCCTAAAACTTCCAATAATACACACGCACTTGATAATTATATTGTATATTAAAAATATATATTAGAAGACATTTCAGATAAATGAATCCAACTTTATCACATAAATTGGACACAATGCTCTGGTTAACACTACTCATGTATAATTCGTTTTGTCGGGGACAGGAAGCCTGCACTGAGGTTGCCTTAAGGTCTAACTACTGACCCTGCCCCAAGATGCAACCCCACAACAGTTGCCTAACTCTCGGGCACCTATTTACTGTTAGGGTGAACAGAGGCATTAGGGAAAAGGAAGCGTGCCCAACCATTTCTGTCCCGCCCGAGAATCGAACCCGGGATCCCCGACTGTCAGTGGAGAACAAAGCCAAGAGTACATAAAGCCATGGAAACATGCACAACCGCAGGGTTTCAAAAACCCAAAAGTAATACTTGAAACATTTGGTGAAGGATTTGTCATGACAAATTTCTCATGACAAGTAAACCAGTCATCACACCATGATAACTGACCAACATACAAGTGTGAAAACATTTGAGTTGGCTCAGGCGGCATACCGGGGGGAGGGGGGAGGTATGCCAACATAGAGGTAGATGGTATGCTCTTGTAACATACTAAACACTAATATATCTAAAGAAAGAGTAAGTATGTGTATCATGAAGAAAGTCACCATCAAGAAGTGTCACAAGAAAAGTCACCATCAACAAAAGTATGCCATTAAGAAAGTCACCATCAACAAAAGTATGCCATTAAGAAAGTCACCATCAATAAATGTGCAGCATGAGGAGTCACCATCAATAAGTACTCACCTAGTTATGCTTGCGGGGGTTGAGTTCTGGCTCTCTGGTCTCGCCTCTCAACCGTCAATCAACAGGTGTACAGATTCCTGAGCCCTATCATATCTACACTTGAAACTGTGTATGGAGTCAGCCTCCACCACATCACTGCCTAATGCATTCCACCTGTTAACTACTCTGACACTGAAAAAGTTCTTTCTAACGTCCCTGTGGCTCATTTGGGTACTCTATCTCCACCTGCGTTCCCTTGTTCGCATACTGTCATTAGAAATTTCATCACAAAAGTGTGCCATGTAGATTTAATGATTTTATTAAATATTTTATAAAGATGAACTAAAATATTGTATTCATGGTGATATCTTCTGTAGGAACCGGAGTCACCAGGCAAGTTGTGACGTGGAGAGGTATAGTGACTGGCAGACAGTATACCTCTCCACTGGGTGTGCTGGGTGTAGTGTTAAGTTATACAGATGGTGGGTGTAGCATCACTGGACTAGAACAAATAACATTATGCGAGTAAAAATATTCAGATACAATGTATTTACTGTATAAAAAAAGAGATACAGTATAAGAGGTCTTCAGACTCACTCTGAATATAGTCTGGGAGACAAAGAAGACATGTAGACTACACAAATATAAAACTCTGCAGAACAACCTGAAATTTAAGACTATGGTATAATACATGTCTCACTCGAGAAGTGTTACCCAAATTTTTGTATATGGTTTCCTGCAGGGATAGCACGCCATTTTTGGCATTTAACCTTGAATAATGGTCACGTATGCAGGTTACACACAAAAGCTCGGGCAACAAAACCTCAATAAGAGCAAAGATTGCTCTAACATATTCTCCTGACACAGCTCCTGTTCTCAGGGCTTCTAACGTTTGGACGGAGCATCAAACCTTGACCTGAGAATAGAAATTCCTTTGTCTTGTTATAGATATGTTTACAGTACACTATTATAACTTGAGCTAATTATCTTTCACAAAAGAGGATTTAAACAATACTTGGGCTAATGTTTGATTTTAGTAACTAAAAAAGTAGCTTACAAAATGTGTGAGCTAGTGGAAGATGTTGATCATTACGCTAAGGAAGGTAATGTGGACAGAGCCCATAACATTATTGGTATACTGTATTGCTATATCAATGTACAGTCACTTATAACTACAGTACTCTACTGCAAGAAACTATTATATTAATCTCATGGATTGGAATTAAATGTTTACATCTATATCAATCAAAAACTTACATTAGGTAAATTCGGGTAAATTTGGCCCCCCTGAAACAAGGTATTGCTATTACTGTGCATGGAAATATAAATACCCTGTATAGACAATATACACAATTTTTTTGGTTAATCTTGGTGCCAACCGATGCTTAAAAATATAGTGGGTTATGAAGACGTTATGACCTTAGAGTCACTGAGGGTAATATCTGGTGTCCATGGCTGGGTTGTCTATACCATACTTGGTCTCATTCATGTCAAATGTGGACTGAATTGCCAGCAGCTCTCTCCTGGCCTCTGGGCACCCGGGTCCCCAGCTGGTGGCCGGCTTGAACACATCACGTATTTTCTGCAAAGAATGAATAGGTGTCAACACTGGTTCTGTGACGTGAATAAACTATTATAATAATTCTGATCATCATCACCAAATGTACCACTTTTATAGGAATGGGATTTGTATGTGAGAAGATGAGGAGTGTGCTGTGGAGCTGCATGACGGACAGTTGCTGAGCCCTCGTGCAACGTGACCTTAACTTTATACCCAATAATTACAGTTGCAATGTGGAGATCTCAAAAATTAATCTGACTATATAAAAATTGTGTTTATTTTATAAGAAATGTGTGATATTCAACTAGTTACTTACAATATAGTTTAGAAAGACAAACAAGTAGTATAACAGGTTATAATGCAGGTGTTGACCAGACCACACACTAGAAAGTGAGGAGACGACGGCATTTCGGTCCGTCCTGGACCATTATCAAGTCGACCAAGACACAATCGACTTGAGAATGGTCCAGGACGGGCCGAAACGTCGTCGTCTTTTCACTTTCTAGTGTGTGGTCTGGTCAACATTCTTCAGCCATGTTATTGTGACTCCTCGTCTGCATATAATGCAGGTGCTGAACTGCACTTCCTCAGACCACACGCCACTCAAACTGGAGTACAAGCACACAGTAATACTGGCTGACATCTAGATAACAAGGCAACACTAAGTGAAAATTATGTTAAATAGGTATACTGGAAAATAATTAAGCTTAAAACAAAATTACAGTAATGTATTTGTTGTTATATATTTTATAAATATAATATTACTGCACTATTATTTTTGTTAAATTACTGCTATTACTAGTCTTCTTCTTCCTCTTCATTGTACTGTAGTTGTGTTACTTTAGGGTCAGACATGAGGCAAGTCATAATTACGTACCAAAATGACTAGAGACTTGTGAAGAAATACAATTTAGAGTAATATAATAACGGTGAAGGTAAGAGTGCAGGAGGTAAGAGTAGTGGGGAGTAACTAGGTGAGGGAGGGAGAGCTGTGAGGCAACACGCCTCACAACACATCCACGTCTCTGTGTTGGTCTTAAAGATACATGTTACAAAGACTTGGTAGCGTACCCCAGTGACGAGCATCTTCAAGACTCTGACAACAAACACCAGAGGTATCATGCCCACAGAGATACCCGCCAACAGCCAACCAATACCAATGCCCCAAGCTGGAAATTCAATGTTGTTGTAGACAGGATCTTCCCAGGTGATCACAGAGTAGATGAACAATATCTGAAAGTAATTATATCTGTAATATTCTGCAGGTAATTAATTATTAAATAAGAAACAGTTTTATTGTTAGAGTTCAAATAAATTAATAGCACAATTATCATCACAAACATTTCTTTATAATTCAGTGTTTCAAGTTTATTCCAGTTTCCTGCTCAATATTTATTTATTAATATACAAGAAGGTACATTGGGTTAGAGAGAATACATAGCATAGTATTTACAATCTTGTAAAGCCACTAGTACGCGCAGCGTTTCGGGCAGGTATATAATACTGACAGACCCGTCTCCCCCACCCTCCTCACTCACACACACACCTGTCTCCCCCCACCCTCCACACTCACACACCTGTCTCCCCCACCCTCCACACTCACACACCCGTCTCCCCCACCCTCCTCACTCACACACCTGTCTCCCCCCCACCCTCCACACTCACACACCTGTCTCCCCCCCCACACTCCACACTCACACACCTGTCTCCACCCTCGCACACCCGTCTCCCACTCACACACCTGTCTCCCACACATGCTGGCACAATAGCTGCTCTGGACCTTCTAGTTTATCTTTACCTCTGCCTCGATACATACACGTTTAACACCCTTAAAGTACAGCCTTTGCAATGTTCATTAATTTGAACTGCAAGCAGTATTGACAAATTTTCAAGCTATCGAGAGACTTCCTGGATAACCTATAATTTTGATTACATCCAAATTAGCGAGCTATTAAAAGCAAGAAAGAGATAAAGCCAGCAGCTTCCTGCCCTAGTGGAGGTCACAAGTGAGATAAAGGCCCTCACGTCAACTATGGTTAATGAGTAAATGACTAAAATAAAGTAAGAGGATAGAGATAGAGGTAAGATAGAGGATTAGCTCTATCTATAATCCATCAACTTTTGTATCTTACCTTGTATGTATGTACTTTACTTAAATAAATAAATAAATAATAAATAAATTTTTATTCATTTATTTATTTATTTATTTATTTATTTATTTATTTATTTATTTATTTATAAGTGTTAACTATGACATGGAAGTTGAGATGGGTTTAGTGTTGCTCACCATGAGGACGATGGGGTCGATGAAGACCCAGCACACCTTCCAGAATATGGACGGACTGTAGCCCAACATAAACTTGAGGTCTTCACTGAAGCGGTGGACGCCATACACCCAGTGAAGGGCAACTAACTCGGAGATGGCAATAAGCAGTACACCAATGCCGCCTCCGAAGCTGTCCAACAAGTAGAAGATGTACGGCCCTAACTGCAACAAACAATTGAACATCAGCATGTTACTCACTCTCATGCAATAATCAATACCAATATAAATAAAACTAATATAAACTGATAAATAAAACAGAGCATAATAAATGTTTTTTTATATTTTAAAGCTTTCTTCTCACTTTCCTTCTCTAAACTGCTGCTCCCACCCAATGTTACCCCATCACCAGGGACGCGGGGTGAGGGACCCGCCTGTGTCTCAGCCATATATGTGTTGTCTTGTGCAACTCCCAGGTACCTATTTACTGCTAGGTAACAGGGGCATCAGGGGTGATAGAAACTTTGTCCAGGTCTAATATGCTTGGTGTATCCCCTCCTCTTTCACTTGTGTCTTCCTTTACATATTGTGTTAGAAAACTTCTGTGTATAACTTCCACTAATTTTGCCCCCCCCCACGTTTCTTCACCATGTGGATTTCTTGATTCCCAGTCGATCTCTCCGTGATTGAGGTCCCCCATGACCAACAGTTTCGCTCTCATTCTGTGAGCTGTTGTTGCTGCCCTCTGTAGTTCATCTATACATGTCTTGTTGTTATCATCATATTCCTGTCTAAGCCTTCTACTGTTTGGTGGGGGATTGTAGATTATCAAGATCACTATCTTCTTCCCATCACCTGTCAGAGTCCCAAGTATGAAGCTTGTGTTTCCATTAGTCTTCCGAATCTCTAGTTTCACAAATTTTCATTTCGGCTTTATGAGGAGTGCCACTCCTCCTCTTCCTCCTCCCTGTCTCCGTGTCTTTTCTTTCCTTAGTACAAGGTGATTAAACGTGACTAATGCCAGTCAACGATAATGAAGACAAGTATTTGACAAGTGAGCTGCCTTCTTGCAGTCGAGCCATCTATTGTACAAGGATCCCTGTAAACCTTTATGTGTCCATTTGTGGTGACCTGCGGCCATGAGTGGGGAGTGTGAGTGAGGGGCCGCGGTCACCAGGACCAGGGACGGGGGAGTAGCATCAAGTGCTGCACATACTAACCGTGGCACAGAGTGGGATGCCCAGGAGGAAGCAGGAGGCACAGATAACGAAGGTAATGACGACCTTGTGATTGCGAAGCCTCGGCACAGAGTCGCACAGAGCCGTCAGCACAGTCTCCAGGAACGCAAACTGTCAAGGAAAACAAAAATATGAATATGAATACGAATCAGAGGTAATGAATATCATAGGAATTAAACACACCAACATTATAATCCTTTCAAGTTAACATGCCAGGCAAAATAAGATACTCGGTTGAGGTTTCCAGAATCAAATGGCTGCAGTTATTTATAGTCATCAATATATACCTGAATTTACCCCGAGGGTCATCACTAGTGGCGACCAAAAGGCCAGGAAGGTTAAGCTTATCAAAGAGATCCTCATTATTCCTGAGGACTTTTTAGGTGAAGTTTAAACTGCAGTAATGACTTACATTTACAGCTTTGGCGGGTAGGCGGTTCCACGGGTTTATAACTTTATGGGTGAAAAAGCATCTCTTGTTTTGTGCTCAACATTGTGCATTGTGGCTTGTTGAGCTTGAAGCTACAAGTGGTCCACAACTGGTCTAGATTAAGGTATTCCAATTTTATTCAGTATAACAAAGGTCTAGATTAGAACGCCTCCGTCATGCCTAGTTTGTGGAGTTGGAAAACATGAGACCTTCAACCCTTCTTGGTTGAAGGGTTAATGAACTACATCAACCCATTTGATGTAGTTCCCAGATAATTCTTGTTGGCCATACACTGGAACTTTGTGGTACTGTCAACATTTTTCTGGTCACATTCTCCTCCATTTAAGACAATTCTTTGTTATCTTTATTTGATCATTTTTATCTATTCTAGTATTTTCCTGTTGATTTCATTTAGTTTATGTTCCAGTCTTTCATAAGGCGGTTTATCAATAGCTTCAGAGACGTTCATGTACAGTACACAAAGTGGAAGGCTTTATAATTAGCCCAGCCGAGGGTGGTGTTAGTTCCCTGCTTGTAATGGGGACATCCCATCCCCCACCACCCATACTCTCCGGGTTCAACCATCAGTGTGGGTGTTGCAATGTTGCACACCATAGTCAGCCTACATGAACTTGAGGAGACGGGACAACAGTGCACCGGGGACAGGAAGCCCTTACTCTTCAACATTTAGGGTTAAACAGACTTCAATGTACGTTGTTCATTCTAAGTTAAATCTTTTGCATTATTAAGCCAAAGTGAGCAGCTTATAGTTATACAATGATATACAGTATAGTAATACATATTCTTGAATGTTTTTATTTAATAGACAACATGGAAAGTATATTTATATATTTTAATTTAAAACAATGACAAAATATTGAGATTGTTTAGCGTGGACTTACTTCCGAGTCGAGTCCGAGTGTGAAGAGCATGAAGAAGAAGAGTACAGCCCACAGCTGCGGCACGGGCAGGGTGCGGGAGATGGCCTCAGGGTACGCTATGAACGCCAGCCCGGGACCTGTCCTCACAACCACAATGAAATCATTTGTTGTACTCCTTATAGAAAGTCGTCTACAATATTAATTATTTACTGATAAGCACAGTTTCATGTAGTGATATATATCACAGCTCATATATCTGATGTTTTATGCATTGGTAGTCAGCTGTGCTCTAGGCCTACCGATAGACTAAGTCTTTTTCGTTCATATTTGTGTAATCTAGTCCAAAACATTTTGTTTTCTCATTTTTAAGTCGAGGAACTATTTTCAGGGACAGTGCCTTGATATTTTACTCTCCCTTCATGTTTGTGTGTTCTTAATAATGGTAATTAACTCATATAAATAATATGTTCTGAATCTTGGCAGACAAGTAAGCAAGGAGGGTGACCGGGGGAGACGCGCAGTCACAACACTCTAGCTGATTACAGTCTGGTATTATTGTTACTGCCTTTACCCCCCCCCGTCACTGTGCCTTCTAAATCGTGCAGTATGAGCATGTGTGTGTGTGTGTGTGTGTGAGGCGAGGTGGAGCCACACCTCCTGGCCGGGGACTATACCTCACCTTCCTCTCCCCAGCACCGCTACTCTCCTCCATGTCTACGTAAATGTATGCACATCCAACACATACAATAATAAACAAAGCATATTTACATTTATATACAATAAATTATTTTACAGTAAATTAAGTGTAATTAATATAGATAAAGTCCACAGCATCCGTTATGAAATTTAGAAAAATAAATAATGGCAGAAAACAGAATAACACGCACCACTGGCAGCCAACTTCCTGATGTCAATACCGAGGTCAGAGGACATGGCACCAAGCACGGAGAAGATGGCCACGGAGGCGATGAGTGACGTGATGAAGTCCAAGGAGGACACCACGAAGGCGTCGATATGAACCTGTTCAAAACAAGTGCCAACGATTCAGAAATATTGTTCTAACTCTACATTTTCCAAACCTAATTACTGTGCACAAGTCAACTCTTAGACCAATAACAAATTCGGACCCCCAGGTGGAAACACAACAACATTCTTAACTGTACTTAAGGTTTGATTATATTGAGAGTATAATACCAATCATGAGCTGAGAGCCGCGGTAGAGGTCTGGCACGAGGACACACACGCTCTTCATGAGACAAATATCATTGTTAATTGTTCTTTAATATATTTACACTCCTGACTCCAGTGTGGCTGTTTTTAATGCTGAAACTCTTCACGATTTAGCAGAACAAAATAAGAATGCAAATGTATGAATCTTGATTTTTAACAGCATGCAAAATGTAACGACTGACTATTGTATACAGTGTTAGCAGTCTGTACCAACTGTACTCTCACAACCCCAGCATCTACCCTAGCATTACAGGCTTAAACAAATCGTTCTAACATATTAATTACATACTGCAGTGATAGTTTATGAATACAAGACATACAATACCTTGTTCCTAAATTTATTGTATGATCCGAACATGATGAGTCCTCCCCAGGAGACGGAGAGGGAGTAGAACATCTGCTCGGCCGCCTTCCTCCACACCGTCACGTTCAGCAGCTCCGCCCACCGGGGCACGAACAGGTACCTCAGACCCTTCACAAACATTAGCCACACATTGATAACGTCCACATGTCACCCAGTTATGCACAAGTCTCTTAGTCTCTGCACCTTATAGACATTCTCGTATGTTTTCATTACCACAAAATAAGCACATTTTAATATATGTTCTCAAATACAGAAGGATTATAGATCAGGACGCTTCACTTCTATAATAATTATAGGTAACCAAATCCCTAATGGGCATAATAAGTTAGTTTTAGAAACTGTTTTCCTTGTCGTGTAAGATAGTTACAATAATGGCATAAGTTTAACAAGGAAGGGAGAAAGTCTGGACGTTCTTACCTCTGAAGCTCCCTCCAGCCTGACGCCAACAATAAGGAGAGCTATGAGGATGACGTAGGGGAAGGTAGCAGTAAAGTAGACCACTTTACCAGAAGACCTCACACCCTTCACCAGGCACAAGAACACTATGATCCACGACAACAACAAACACAGCGTCAGGTCCCACTGAATTGTGCCAATGTTACCAAACTCTTGAAGGCCATTTTTGTCTAGACGCAGCACGCCATTTCTGAGATTCAGAAAGTTTATTTTGAGGGTTATGAGACAAATTCTTAATAAGTGAACACAAACTTTAAAACTATCATCGTATACTTGGAGGAAGAATTACAGAGTACAGTAAATTGTTATAGTTTGTGTGGCAGGTAAAGATAGTACTGACAGATATTATTGTTATTGTTGTGTTATTGTATGTTAAGATATATGTTGGTATGGGGTCAAGTGAGACACAGTGGGTCACACAGTATTAACAGGTGTACACGGTCACACACATGACTACACCAGCTACCTGTCCTCCTCTCTCTTAACATAGTTCCCCCTCTCATCTCTTATCCCAATCTCCTCCTCTTTACTTCCCTCTCCACCCTTCTTTTTTCCTCCTTGTCCACTCTCTCTCCCTCCCATCTCTAATCTTTCTCCCACTCTTCCTTTGTTTTCCAAACTCCTCTCTTCTTCCCTCTCTCTGCCTTTACCCCCGCCTCTCCCCCTTCTCTCACTATTTATATGTATATCTCTATCTTTGTCTTTCTATGAAAATTTAATACTGTATTACAATTTTTTTTTATTAATACACGAGTACGAACAGGTGAAAAACGTATACAATTCTACGGAAAACCAATACCAAATTTCAGACTTCATGAGAAAAATAGGAGCCAATGAACAAATCCACAAGGGCCGTGATGAGCGCTCGAGCCTACGTCCGGGATAATCCCAGACGCGCCTTAGTCGACTGTGCAGCGACATGCTCAAAAGAATTGCAACCTGGAGTGCTACTGCTCTCACGAGGATCCTGCAGCCTCTCCGAGACACAAAGCAGGGTTTTACACAATTCCCCCCCCATGTACCCGGGCTCTGTCAACAAGCTGTTCTACCTCTTCGTGGCGCAGTCGACTAAGGCGCGTGTGGGATTATCCCAGACGTAGGTTCGAACCCTCATCACGTCCCTTGTAGATGTGTTCATTTGATGCATCATGCTACTGTGATTTGTGAGTGTATAGGAGCCAATATTTCCTAAAGAGGAGTACTGCTGTCGACCCCGACTGGCCTATGACACTCGCACGCCACCTATGTGTCATCTCAAAACTGGGTGAGGCTAGCCACAAGCATCTGGCCTCCAACCTTGGACGAAGAAACAAACATTTCTTGTTATAGTTATAGACGATTGTTGGTGATTATGGCGCTTAGTTTATTGTGCACCCCATACTTGTGCTGTGAGTGGTAGTTTATTGTGCACCCCATACTTGTGCTGTGAGTGGTAGTTTATTGTGCACCCCATACTCATGCTGTGAGTGGTAGTTTATTGTGCACCCCATACTTGTGCTGTGAGTGGTAGTTTATTGTGCACCCCATACTCATGCTGTGAGTGGTAGTTTATTGTGCACCCCATACTCATGCTGTGAGTGGTAGTTTATTGTGCACCCCATACTTGTGCTGTGAGTGGTAGTTTATTGTGCACCCCATACTCATGCTGTGAGTGGTAGTTTATTGTGCACCCCATACTTGTGCTGTGAGTGGTAGTTTATTGTGCACCCCATACTCATGCTGTGAGTGGTAGTTTATTGTGCACCCCATACTTGTGCTGTGAGTGGTAGTTTATTGTGCACCCCATACTCATGCTGTGAGTGGTAGTTTATTGTGCACCCCATACTTGTGCTGTGAGTGGTAGTTTATTGTGCACCCCATACTCATGCTGTGAGTGGTAGTTTATTGTGCACCCCATACTTGTGCTGTGAGTGGTAGTTTATTGTGCACCCCATACTCATGCTGTGAGTGGTAGTTTATTGTGCACCCCATACTTGTGCTGTGAGTGGTAGTTTATTGTGCACCCCATACTTGTGCTGTGAGTGGTAGTTTATTGTGCACCCCATACTCATGCTGTGAGTGGTAGTTTATTGTGCACCCCATACTTGTGCTGTGAGTGGTAGTTTATTGTGCACCCCATACTCATGCTGTGAGTGGTAGTTTATTGTGCACCCCATACTTGTGCTGTGAGTGGTAGTTTATTGTGCACCCCATACTCATGCTGTGAGTGGTAGTTTATTGTGCACCCCATACTTGTGCTGTGAGTGGTAGTTTATTGTGCACCCCATACTCGTCCTGTAAGTGGTAGTTTATTGTGCACCACATACTCGTCCTGTAAGTGGTAGTTTATTGTGCACCCCATACTCATGCTGTGAGTGGTAGTTTATTGTGCACCCCATACTTGTGCTGTGAGTGGTAGTTTATTGTGCACCCCATACTTGTGCTGTGAGTGATAGTTTATTGTGCACCCCATACTCATGCTGTGAGTGGTAGTTTATTGTGCACCACATACTCGTCCTGTGAGTGGTAGTTTATTGTGCACCCCATACTCATGCTGTGAGTGGTAGTTTATTGTGCACCACATACTCGTCCTGTAAGTGGTAGTTGTGCACCCCATACTCATGCTGTGAGTGGTAGTTTATTGTGCACCCCATACTCATGCTGTGAGTGGTAGTTTATTGTGCACCCCATACTTGTGCTGTGAGTGGTAGTTTATTGTGCACCCCATACTCATGCTGTGAGTGGTAGTTTATTGTGCACCACATACTCGTCCTGTAAGTGGTAGTTTATTGTGCACCACATACTCGTCCTGTAAGTGGTAGTTTATTGTGCACCACATACTCGTCCTGTAAGTGGTAGTTTATTGTGCACCACATACTCGTCCTGTGAGTGGTAGTTTATTGTGCACCACATACTCGTCCTGTGAGTGGTAGTTTATTGTGCACCACATACTCGTCCTGTGAGTGGTAGTTTATTGTGCACCACATACTCGTCCTGTAAGTGGTAGTTTATTGTGCACCACATACTCGTCCTGTAAGTGGTAGTTTATTGTGCACCACATACTCGTCCTGTAAGTGGTAGTTTATTGTGCACCACATACTCGTCCTGTGAGTGGTAGTTTATTGTGCACCACATACTCGTCCTGTGAGTGGTAGTTTATTGTGCACCACATACTCGTCCTGTGAGTGGTAGTTTATTGTGCACCACATACTCGTCCTGTGAGTGGTAGTTTATTGTGCACCACATACTCATCTTGTGGGGTAGCACAAAAGGTACTCACAGGACAATAAACTATCAGACCCCAGTAGATGGTATCTGACATTAGACCAGAGAGACCCACCGACAAGTTGCTGGCACACACAGTTCTCTCTCTCTGACGCTTCTACACTTATGAACATATCATGTGCAAACCTATTTTTATAAATGAAATATTTTGTTCTGCTCCTCAGGCTCTCTCGCCAAACACAGACAAAATAATGTAAGTTTACTGTCATTGTCACCGTCACCGTCACTGTCCTTGGCAAGAAATGTCTTCAACTGTCACATGAGGAGTTGTAACAAGAGTGAGAACTGTACTATCACATCATGCCTTCAAATATACAATGAAAGAAAACAAAATTAAATTAAATTGCTAATCTAATAATTCACTTTGTTTTTATTTGGCCTTACAAGAAAATATTAGAAGGCAAATTGTTAGGTTGGTAGGCAGGAGATGTAGAGGTGCGTGTACCGCGGCGCACCACCACCTGCCTTACTCACTCACCTCCAGAACTGTTGAGCCGAGGACTCGTTCCTGGTGGTGCAGTTGACGGTGTCGGTGGGAGCCGTGAGGTTGTACCGTGGACACGGATACAACCCGTCCACGTCGAAACAGTTGGAGTCAGCCCAGTCAGGGTGGCATCTGGCCCACGGCACCTGCAACACACCTCAAGTCTTAAACCAGTCATATTAATGTTCTCCCTCACACACACACACACACACACACACACACACACACACACACACACACACACACACACACACACAAGCTAGCGTGCACAACAGCTACAAGCATGAGACATATACATCCCGCTGGCGGGGCCAGGAAGCCAGCACTTGTCTTGTATGGGCCGAGTTCATCTCCCCGACAATGGCATCACACTCTTGTGCTTCACGCTACACTTGTGGCTCGCCTACAGATACACAAAATTTCAATTTAAACTGGCTGTACTTACTAAATATTTACTATATAATAATAATAATAATAATAAGAGAGGGACCCACCTCTGAAGCAAAGCTGCCAAACATGTAGTAGAGGGAATATGCCATCAGCTGGTTGTAGTATATAGCAGTAATAAGAGACAATATTACCATGGCAAATCCCACGCCTGTAAACAAAGAAACAATGGTCAAGTTGATCAGATAATTTGAAGAATTCGCAGCATGGCCAACAACAGTCACTGTTGTGGAACACCGTTTATACCTAAGATTAACTACAGTATTACTCTACGTCTTTACTACAATATGATGTGATGCAGCCTAATTTTTTCACATAGTGTGTGATCTGTTTATGGTTAGATGCAAGACTTGCCCACCTGTTACTTGGTACCTGGCTGGCCCTTGCTCAGAGTTCGGTACCTGCCTGGCCCTTCAATTGCAAACAACAAGAGATAAGATACCATCACATGATAACAAGCAAGAATGATCTAGCAATAATATAAAGCTCTGTGCTGTATTTCTACACAAACATTTCCATCATATGCTGGCATCATGAGGCTACTCACCCACCACAACACACTATCAGGAGACTACTCACCCACCACAACACACTATCAGGAGACTACTCACCCACCACAACACACTATCAGGAGACTACTCACCCACCACAACACACTATCATGAGGCTACTCACCCACCACAACACACTATCAGGAGACTACTCACCCACCACAACACACTATCAGGAGACTACTGACCCACCACAACACACTATCAGGAGACTACTCACCCACCACAACACACTATCAGGAGACTACTCACCCACCACAACACACTATCAGGAGACTACTGACCCACCACAACACACTATCAGGAGACTACTCACCCACCACAACACACTATCAGGAGACTACTCACCCACCACAACACACTATCAGGAGACTACTGACCCACCACAACACACTATCAGGAGACTACTCACCCACCACAACACACTATCAGGAGACTACTCACCCACCACAACACACTATCAGGAGACTACTGACCCTGCATGACTGGAGCACAACGCCAGACGTTCATGGGGCCGAGCTGACTGTACTGGCCGAGGGCGGTCTCCATGAAGTACATGGGCTTGCCAATCAGCACCAGGAGGATGATGTACGGGAACAGGAAGGCCGCTGCGGGGGGGGGGGGAGGACAAACACAATCATCACAATATTAAACATTCACATTAATACCGTCTTCAAAATGCTGGGATTTCTTAGCAGTTATATCAATGACAGTTACGGAGTCATAGTCACTTTCAACTAGCAGACAGTAAGTAAATTTATAAGTTGTTATAAGTGAACTACTCTAAGTATTAGTAATAATAAATCAGGAGCTGTGTGTACTTTATGGTGATGATTTGAGAAGTAATTAAGGAATGTATAAAAGATATAAGGAGTAATAATTAAGAGTGAAGTAAGACTTGAGAAGTGAGGAAGACTTACCTCCACCGTTCTCATAGGCGAGGTAGGGGAAGCGCCAGACGTTGCCGATGCCTACAGAGAGACCAACACAGGAGAGAATAAACTCAGCCTTGGACCCCCACTGTCCGCGGTCACTCTCCTCCCCTACAGTGTCGCCCTCCGCCGTCTGCGTCGACCCGGAGCCATTACTCTGTTGAACAAACACCTTTACTCTCTCTGTACCTATCCTAGTGCACTCGTGGCCACCAGTTCCAGCTCTTACTTGGTACTTACTTACTTACTCACTACTTAACCAGTAATGGGCCGTGATATGCCTCTCAAAAGGGGTTAGTCTTAATTAAGTAAGTATATAATGGATTCACTTTCACGACATTGGCAAAGATGTGCTCCCAGCGTATTGTTATAGTTCACACGAGCTCTGACAACCATAATTCTTATACAAGCGTGGTGACACATACCTTGTAGGACTCGTAGGGGGTGGGGACACATACCTTGTAGGACTCGTAGGGCGTGGGGACACATACCTTGTAGGACTCGTAGGGCGTGGGGACACATACCTTGTAGGACTCGTAGGGCGTGGGGACACATACCTTGTAGGACTCGTAGGGCGTGGGGACACATACCTTGTAGGACTCGTAGGGCGTGGGGACACATACCTTGTAGGACTCGTAGGGCGTGGGGACACATACCTTGTAGGACTCGTAGGGCGTGGGGACACATACCTTGTAGGACTCGTAGGGCGTGGGGACACATACCTTGTAGGACTCGTAGGGCGTGGGGACACATACCTTGTAGGACTCGTAGGGCGTGGGGACACATACCTTGTAGGACTCGTAGGGCGTGGGGACACATACCTTGTAGGACTCGTAGGGCGTGGGGACACATACCTTGTAGGACTCGTAGGGCGTGGGGACGTAGTTTTGGCGCCAGCGCTCGTCAGAGGCGCCATTGGTGTAATCCTTAGTGTGGGTGGTGTGGTCCGGCGGGCCGCTGGCGCCTGGCGCTGTGCTCCTCTGCTTGTAGGAGATGGGACTGATCGGGTCCTGTGTGGGAGAGTCTCTTCAGGTCAAGCAGTACGGTATTAGGCTAGTGGAGGATCACCACTGACCACCACCTACAGTGGAGGATTACCTACAGTGGAGGACCACCACCTACAGTGGAGGACCACCATCTACAGTGGAGGACCACCACCTACAGTGGAGGACCACCACCTACAGTGGAGGACCACCACCTACAGTGGAGGACCACCACCTACAGTGGAGGACCACCATCTACAGTGGAGGACCACCACCTACAGTGGAGGATTACCTACAGTGGAGGACCACCACCTACAGTGGAGGACCACCATCTACAGTGGAGGACCACCACCTACAGTGGAGGACCACCACCTACAGTGGAGGACCACCACCTACAGTGGAGGACCACCACCTACAGTGGAGGACCACCACCTACAGTGGAGGACCACCACCTACAGTGGAGGACCACCACCTACAGTGGAGGACCACCACCTACAGTGGAGGACCACCACCTACAGTGGAGGACCACCACCTACAGTGGAGGACCACCATCTACAGTGGAGGACCACCACCTACAGTGGAGGACCACCACCTACAGTGGAGGACCACCATCTACAGTGGAGGACCACCATCTACAGTGGAGGACCACCACCTACAGTGGAGGACCACCACCTACAGTGGAGGACCACCATCTACAGTGGAGGACCACCACCTACAGTGGAGGACCACCATCTACAGTGGAGGACCACCACCTACAGTGGAGGACCACCACCTACAGTGGAGGACCACCACCTACAGTGGAGGACCACCACCTACAGTGGAGGACCACCACCTACAGTGGAGGACCACCACCTACAGTGGAGGACCACCATCTACAGTGGAGGACCACCACCTACAGTGGAGGACCACCACCTACAGTGGAGGACCACCATCTACAGTGGAGGACCACCATCTACAGTGGAGGACCACCACCTACAGTGGAGGACCACCACCTACAGTGGAGGACCACCATCTACAGTGGAGGACCACCACCTACAGTGGAGGACCACCACCTACAGTGGAGGACCACCACCTACAGTGGAGGACCACCATCTACAGTGGAGGACCACCACCTACAGTGGAGGACCACCATCTACAGTGGAGGACCACCACCTACAGTGGAGGACCACCATCTACAGTGGAGGACCACCACCTACAGTGGAGGACCACCACCTACAGTGGAGGACCACCATCTACAGTGGAGGACCACCACCTACAGTGGAGGACCACCACCTACAGTGGAGGACCACCACCTACAGTGGAGGACCACCATCTACAGTGGAGGACCACCACCTACAGTGGAGGACCACCACCTACAGTGGAGGACCACCACCTACAGTGGAGGACCACCATCTACAGTGGAGGACCACCACCTACAGTGGAGGACCACCACCTACAGTGGAGGACCACCACCTACAGTGGAGGACCACCTACAGTGGAGGACCACCATCTACAGTGGAGGATTACCTACACCCCCTTGTCTACCCCCCCCCTTGTTCTCCACCCCCACTTGTTCTCCACCCCCCCCCCCCTTGCCCTCACTCTCCACCCCCCCCCCATGCGTGTATCTGTATAGCAAAACACTCACAATACACTTAGGAAACAAATGAGTGTCTCAGCACGGACAGTTTTGACAACAATGGCTGCTGAACCTGTTCGGTCCAGTCTCTGTGCTGCCGTATTAATGGTTGCTCCTCCTCGTATAGGGTCATGGAGAGCGCTCATCGGCTGACAGCCTGACCAAAAATAAATACGACAGTAATTCCAGATTTCATTAATCATCCTGTTAAATAATATAAGATTACGACAGGTGTTTGTATTCACATGTGTACGGTGTAACAGACAAGACACAGCCAACAAAAGATCAGTTCAAGCCAAGATGAGAAGACAAAAATGTGAGGAACGAGAAGCGGGCGGCGCCATTATCATCCCGGGGAAACAAAAGAGCGTGCGGGAGCGGCCAGTCACAAGAGGGTGACTCTTGTGTAACTTTTACTTCAGTTGGCACGGGTGCTGGAGGCGTGGTTCCTCTTGTACATTCTCACACACTTTCCACACCCACCATTACACCGCCACTTTAACCCTCCTTACTCTCTTTACACCGCTATTGGCGTTTAGAAAAATTATTAGTCATTATTCTCACGCAGCAAACTGCCCAACGGCTAGTTTGTTTCATAAACTTTGCGACTTAAGACAACTTACACAACGTACATGAGACTAACCGTATTAAGTGCATCACATGTATGTTTCCTCATGAGTGTGTTGTGTGCTTGACTACTGACGGTGGCATTATGCTTCTACTATAAGAGGTACCCGGCCGTGCCCGGGTCTCTTGTTCCCCCTCTACCCTCTCTCCTTCCCTCCTCTTCCATCCCTCTCCACCTCCCCCTCTCAGAAAATGTACTATTACAAGGCACTGTAACTGCTGAACAGCTCTATAAGAAACAACAAATATTTCAGACATGACTTATTGAAAAATCGCTTGGGAGAGGGTCTATAAATACCGATATTTCTTACAGTATGTCACTTGGGCCGTCACCGACTGGCCTATGACACTCCCCTACCCAACATGATTAATCTTGCAGAGTTGTGTGAGACTAGCCACAAGCGCCTGGCCTCCAACCTCGGACACAGAGACAGACATTCTGTGTTACAGACACTCTCCACCGCCTCACCTCGGGGGGGGGGGGGGGACACTGACACTACACACGATAGGCTGTATAAGACCTGACACACTCACTCTATACTACTGGCCAACACTGGCCAGGTGTCAACACTGGCCAGGTGTCAACACTGGCCGGGTGTCAACACTGGCCAAGTGTCAACACTGGCCAGGTGTCAACACTGGCCAGGTGTCAACACTGGCCAGGTGTCAACACTGGCCAGGTGTCAACACTGGCCAGGTGTCAACACTGGCCAGGTGTCAACACTGGCCAGGTGTCAACACTGGCCGGCCCAGTCACTCACCAACGTGTACAAACTACCACAATACACGCCACTTGGGGACTAAGAAGCGCCCCAAGTGAGAGTGCTTATAGTGAGAGTAACTTAGTGAGAGACGTTATAGGGAGAGGGAGTAGAGGACGGGTCTGACCAGCTCCTGGTGACACGCTAACAACCGGTACCATTGATATGTGATCCTCCCTCACCCCCACTCCCTCCCTCACACTGTCTCCTCCCTCACACATTTTCCAGTAAGTCAGGAAAATGCGGCGCAGGCAAACGGCGGGAGTAATGAACAAAACCATTTATTCAATTTCAGACCGTGAATATGGCCGAGGGTTCGCTATACATGCCGATATTTCTTAACTCATGGCACTTGGGCCGACCCCGACTGGTCTATAAAACTCACAGTCCCTGTGTTGCATGTTCGAATGATGGGTAAGGCAAGTCCAAGAGTCTGGCCTTATATATTATATTATATTATATTATATTATATTATATATATATATATATATATATATATATATATATATATATATATATATATATATATATATATTTTATTATGCAAGGTTATACAGTTACATATCTGATTTTATACAAAAAATGAAATATATATATATATATATATATATATATTTCTTTTGCAGGTGGTAAGTATGAACAACCTTGTGAATCAGGGGAAAGGAATGTTAAGTTTGTCAGTTCTTGTCAGGGGGGGGGGAGGGGGGGGGAGGAGGGGGGGAGGGAGAGGGGTAAGAGGGAATATGTTAGCGGCGGTTGGCAGGCTTGACAATACTGCTTCAGGCCTGCCAACACTACCAAACACTGCTTCAGGCCTGCCACCACTACCAAACACTGCTTCAGGCCTGCCACCACTACCAAACATTACTTCAGGCCTGCCACCACTACCAAACCTTACTTCAGGCCTGCCAACACTACCAAACATTGCTTCAGGCCTGCCAACACTACCAAACCTTACTTCAGGCCTGCCACCACTACCAAGCATTACTTCAGGCCTGCCAACACTACCAAACATTACTTCAGGCCTGCCAACACTACCAAACATTACTTCAGGCCTGCCAACACTACCAAACCTTACTTCAGGCCTGCCAACACTACCAAACATTGCTTCAGGCCTGCCACCACTACCAAACATTACTTCAGGCCTGCCACCACTACCAAACATGGCTTCAGGCCTGCCACCACTACCAAACATTACTTCAGGCCTGCCAACACTACCAAACATTACTTCAGGCCTGCCACCACTACCAAACATTACTTCAGGCCTGCCAACACTACCAAACATTACTTCAGGCCTGCCACCACTACCAAACATTACTTCAGGCCTGCCAACACTACCAAACATTACTTCAGGCCTGCCAACACTACCAAACATTACTTCAGGCCTGCCAACACTACCAAACATTACTTCAGGCCTGCCAACACTACCAAACATTACTTCAGGCCTGCCACCACTACCAAGCATTACTTCAGGCCTGCCAACACTACCAAACATTACTTCAGGCCTGCCAACACTACCAAACATTACTTCAGGCCTGCCAACACTACCAAACCTTACTTCAGGCCTGCCAACACTACCAAACCTTACTTCAGGCCTGCCAACACTACCAAACCTTACTTCAGGCCTGCCAACACTACCAAACCTTACTTCAGGCCTGCCAACACTACCAAACCTTACTTCAGGCCTGCCAACACTACCAAACCTTACTTCAGGCCTGCCAACACTACCAAACCTTACTTCAGGCCTGCCAACACTACCAAACATTACTTCAGGCCTGCCAACACTACCAAACATTACTTCAGGCCTGCCAACACTACCAAACATTACTTCAGGCCTGCCAACACTACCAAACCTTACTTCAGGCCTGCCACCACTACCAAACCTTACTTCAGGCCTGCCAACACTACCAAACATTGCTTCAGGCCTGCCACCACTACCAAACATTACTTCAGGCCTGCCACCACTACCAAACATGGCTTCAGGCCTGCCACCACTACCAAACATTACTTCAGGCCTGCCA